TTATTTTTTCGAATTTTTTCTAATGTTTCCTACACTAAAAAAAAATCTCTAATATTTCTTTATAACTTCTCAGATATTTTTATCACTGAATTGCACTGAAATTTCAAGGAATTTTGTCCTTGAAAATTCCAAATTTTATGGAAAAATCAATAAGAAATGTAAATTTTAGTTCAATTATTCCATAAAAATTGATAGAAATCAGGAAAATTGAATAACTACATCCAATAATTTTCAATCAATTGGAAATTGAATAATCTCAAATGAAAAAAATTATTCAAAGTAAAATAATTTCAAATCATTTTAATCTAATGAATCTGTAAATTACAAAACAAATCTACGTACATTCAGAGAAATATTTCTCTAACAGACCTCAGCCGAAAAAACTCCCCAAGTTCAGTATCAAACCCACAACACAAGAGTATTATCTGCTTTAATGCCCCCCCTCCCGCGCGCCACCAAGAGAATTCCAAATGGAAATGCCAGAAGAATAAAATAAAGATTCTCTCTCCAGCTGTAAATTCCAAACGAATTGAAAAAAACGAGAACAAGACATGAATTGGTATCACCAAAGATTATATAAATTTGACCTGAATGGATAATCAATGAGACCCTGTGGTTGTAAAAAATCAGCGCAGTACCAGAACTTTGAGAGAATTGGCAAAGCACGAACAATATATCCCGAGAGACGCATAAATGCCGAGGGCTCGTTGGAAAATCAATGTCGTGGGGAGTTGCTTCCAACTCTATAGCTCAATGTCTGACTATATCGGTTATTGTATATGTGTACGGGCATGACTACTTATCAGACGTTCACTGTTACTCGAGAACTATAAAAATGAAATATAAATTATGAAAACTTCTGGGTATGGCAACTGTCCAGAGATTTATTCCCTCGATAAATGAAAACTTGGAAATAAAAATGCGAAAAAAATTGAGTAAAAATTTCTTGAGATGAAGTTCTTTTCATTCACAGAGAAATCCATTTTCCTATAAATTATGGATTTCCGTCTGGCTAAAGACATGGCTTTAATTAATTTCCTCTGCAGTAATTCGTTTTTTTTTAAGTTTCTCGTGACATGAAGCGGAAATTACTACAATGAGAAAAAAAATTACTTTTGCTAAGGAATCCTTTTCCTGCGAGACGAATTAATTTATTCCCAGGTGGTCCAAGATAACTAAAAAATAATAACAAAATCAAACCGAATTCAAATAATAAATTCAGGCCCAGGTGTACTACCTTTCGAATGTTATCTGGATTTTTTTCATCTTTCGTAATCCAAAATTGTCAATTGAGTTGTACATCATGTAGAAATTCGCAAAAATTATGATAGAATGATAAAAAAAATAGAAAAAATTCTGAACTTTTTCAAAGAGCGTTTTTAATTAAGATTCAGAATGAGTTGACAATTTCAGGTAACGAAAGATGAAAAAAAATATCGAGATAATTTTCGAAAGATACACCCGGGCCTTCAATTGAATATTATTTCTTGTGGGTTCGAAACACAAGACATTGATCATATCTTTTGGTACTCTCCCAATTTTAACACGGAAAGAACAACACTCCTAGAAAATTTGATAAAATGTAAAGCCCAATAACCAACTCTGTAAAGCCCTTTCTGTGTTCTACAGCTCCAAAAATCATAAATATTCTACACAAGTTCATCCAAACGGGAAAAATAATCATGTGACTGTACAATGACATGTAACCACATATAAAAAAAATGTTGAAATGAAAACTGTAAATTCACTACAGACAGTGTAATAAATCATGTAGATTTTCGCACTTTAAACAATAAACTAAAATTGAAAATTATATAAATCTTGAATTAAACCAAGCTATTAATCACAGAAACAAGAGTGAGTCTTTCGATTTCCTCCAAATTAATAATAAATGAACAATCATCTCATATATATTTGAAGATGGACATGGATCACCTGGGCATGACTGGCCTGGAGTAATAAAATACTCTAGAAAAATAAATTCTTCTCCCAAGAAAATGATTCCTTGGCACAAGTGATTTTTTTTTCTCAGTGTACAACGGATATCCGGTTTCCAGAATTGACCGAAGATTCTCAAGGATGAAATTTCCCGACAGACGGAGGAAACCCCCCGGAAGGGATGAGTAATAGGAAAAAGTTGAGTTCTGATGAAAAACCATTCTCCAAGTGAGTTTTATTTCATTCTCCAGCGGGGTGAAATATATTCTAGAAAATATTATCTGTTTTATCTTGACGGGTGTATACCACAGGTGCACATGACGAGACAGGATAACCCGGATTATCGATCCAACCAGCATCATTGTACATCCATGTTATTACGGTTTAACATTCGATAATGCTCGGCTTTTGAAATATCGCACACGTTGATATTCCATCGTCACGTTGAATTGCAATGCAAAATGAAAGAGGGGAAAAAGTGCGAATCGGAGTTGGGGAATTGCTGGGCAAACTGAACGACCTCGGATTACTTTTCCCATGCAAATTCGAGTGAATTTTCATTGGTGAAACAGTTTCTAAAATCTAAAAATATTTTCCATGCATTTCCTGTATAAAAAACCGAATTCTTTATAATATTATAGAGTAATTTCAGTTTTAATACAGAGCAAATAAATCAAGCAGATGTAACGTCATATTAAATTAGTTTCTCATTTATTAAATATTTCAGTTCGATAATTCTTGTCAAAATGTACACATCACAAGGAGAGAATATTTTGTTTGTCATATAACTTTCTACTATTTGCATTGATTGGATACAGACTAAATCTCAACGCTTACCTCATATATATTCCACTCATTCATCCATACTTAACAGTTTTATCCGTTAATTATTTTCGATTCCAAATATTAGATAGAAAGTGTGCACACTAGAAATATTTATTATAGCTATGACAAGTTAATCATATCAAAATAAAGACAAATCAAAGGCTCAGACTACTCGAATGAATACAATATAGAATTTTGTACGATCCGTACTTGTCAGTGCCCGAGTAGCGAGAGAGAGCTCGTGCGATTATCACTGGTGGGACACCTGATCGATTGACCGTGGCGCCTTATTTGGGTATTTCCGAAAATACTTGAAGGCGCGAAGGCCGAAATCGTTGCATCATTACATCTTCCGTAGAATCAATCAAAAACTGATAGAATTTTCTAAATTTTCCGACGAAATTGTCTTGAATTTTCATGTATTTATCAATTAAACTCCGACCCAGTAGCTTGGCGCAGTGGGTAAGTTCGTTGCCTCACATGCGAAAGGTTCCGTGTTTCAATCCCGGCCGGGTAGAATGGCGCGATGGTAAAAGAATTATATTGAGGCACAGTGATATTAACTTGTAACGAACTTTTTGACTTATCAACGTCTAGAATTTATTTTCCCCTGTGTTAATTTTGTGGTGCTCGTTGCTCAGCAGCCAGGGTCCTGAATAAAAATTAGAGTACAGATTCGACGTGTTCGTTAATTATTGAATTTTTTGATTTCTAGTCTTGTTTCTCTATTTCCAATTTTTCTGCCTAAATTTTCCTCGGTGTTCGGAGATTCTTCCTGGTCCACGGTGTTTCGGTGTATTCGGTTCTTTTACGGATAATCAGTCAGGGCTCGGATAGCTTGTCGTCAGAGATAAATTTTGCATCTTGAAATTTTCACCGTATCGTCTTTTAAATTTTTTTCTCATTACCTTCTACCCCCCATACATGCAAAATCCACTGGCCCATAAAACCTCAAGACTTCGAAAAAAATAAGAATAAGATTCCGTTTTCATTGGTGAATCTAAACGGATTTTCAATTTCATGGTATGAATCCTCGTGGAGTGATTTTTCTAAATTTTCAGACGAAATTGTCTTGAATTATCATGTATTTATCAATTAAACTCCAACCCGGTAGCTTGGCGCAGTGGGTAAGTTCGTTGCCTCACATGCGAAAGGTTCCGAGTTCAAATCCCGGCCGGGTAGAATGGTGCGATGGTAAAAGAATTATATTGAGGCACAAGGGAATGATATTAACTCACTAACATAGTTTCTACGATACTGATGACTCATCAGTTTCACTGAAACTAAATACTTCTTCAATTTCATGGTCTGAATTGCCTGGGAGCGATGCAAGGGCTCAATATTTTTTCATGGAAAATGAAAATAGGAAATTAGGAATGGGGGATTAATGGGGGAAATTAAATTGTAATTGGAGATCTCGGAAGTAATTATTCTCAGAGCCCCTTGGAAACGTGTTCACTGCATGAAAAAACATTTTGTTGAATATATTTCGCTATTTATTATTCATTTATTTATTTATTATTATTGAGTTGAAAAATAAAAAAGGAAATTTTATGCATTAGATTAGATTTTCTGACCTGATGCATAGAATTACGATCTGTCGCTACCAGATCAGGGGAAATTATTCTGCAGTTTCTCAAAATGATATGACCCATAATTCATTGAATTATCTTATTACTCATGTTTAAAAATTTTGTATCTTAAAATATTCACCGTATTCTCCTTTAAATTTTTTCCCCATTACATTCCACCTCAAGACTTCGAAAAAAAATTGAATAGGATTCCGTTTTCATTGGTGAAACAAAATGAATTTTCAATTTAATTGTATGAATCCTCGTGGAGTGATCCAAGGGCTGGATATTTTTTCTCAAAAACGAAAATAGGAAATTAGAAATGGGGGATTAATTTTTTCATGAAAAATTGCAACAGGAAATAAAAATGGAGGATTAATGTAGGAAATTGAAGTATAATTAGACTTTTCTCAAATAATTATTTCACAGTTCCTCTGAGACGTGTTCACTGAAATGGAATGCAGATTCTCAAAATAATATGATCCATAATTCATTGAATAATCTTATTATTCATGTTGAGAAATTTTATATTTCCAACTGTTCACTCGATTCTCCTCAAAATTTCTCCCCCATTACCCACAAATTTCCACCCCACATACACGCAAAACCCACTGACCCGTAAAACCTCAAGATTTTGAATAAAAACTCGGAATAAAATACTTCCAGAGACTGATAGCTGAATTGAATAAGGAGCAGGAAGCCTTTATCGCTGGAAAGACCAATGAAAAGGGTGAGGCAGTTGCCCCGTGGGTTGGAGCTCCCAACGAGGATGCGTTGCGTGAGGAATGCCTGGCCCTTTCAACCGTGAGTAATGTTTCATAGATGTTTCATAATTCCACAATGTTTGCTTCGGGTTAAATTCAAGCTGAGGCACGTCAACTTTATGGAAGAAGCAGCATCTCCAGAATTCCTTGAGATATTGTATCTAGGGACGAGGGAAAAACTGGGGAGAAATTGAAGCGATAAATCTGGTGAAGAATGAGAACGGAAATTGTTTAATATTGTTTGTTTTATCAATTATTTAAGGATCGCCGCAATTTCGTGAGAGCACCACCACCTGGAGTTGAATTCGAGTGGGACTTTGAGGCTATTCAGCCAATGGCACAAGCTACACTCGCCTTAGATCCTAATCTCGAGACAATGAGGTTCGAGCTAGTACCCAAAGTGTAAGTGTTTCAATGAAAATTTTCTATTAGTATCAATTTCGATAGGATTTTAATTGAAATAATTATTTTTTTGTTAAAAAGTGAGTATCTGGAAGTATCATTTGCTATAGCCAATCTATCTTCAGATTTCAAAAATCTATAGAAAAATATTTTTCATTCAAAAAAAATATGGGAAAAAATTATTTATGAATTTGTCTACAGAAAAATATTTTGATAAGATTGAAAAAAAAATCCGTATAACAATTTATTTCTCTAAAAAAACTAAAGGAAATGATTTCTCATTTTTAAAAATTGCATTAAAATCGCATTGATATTTTTTTCAGAAAAAAATTATTAAAAAATTTTTTCTTCTCGTATACCCTTTCGGGTCTTTACGATTTGTTCCCTTCCCACCCCCCAACCCCCTGTACCGCATTCACCGAAGGACAAGGGAAAACCTCATTTGAGGGAAAAACCTGCCCAGGTACAGTCGTCTCTTGCCAGACTCCCGCTCGACAATGAAACCGTGAGATTTTAGAGTGTCACAAATTTTGGCCCCCCCATCCGGGAATCGAACCCGGGTGGCCAATCCCACACTCTAACCACACAGCCACCGCCGTCGGTAAAAAAAAAATTATATAATTTTGTGAGAAAAAAGAAACTTATGAAAGGAAATTAATTGATGAATTAATTGCTGAAGCATTTTCTCTGTCAAGACTCCATTCTAAGACGTTGGAAATTTGTTTCAGTATAACTGAGGAGAACTTCTGGCGCAATTACTTCTACAGAGTATCCCTCCTACGTCAGAGCCATGAATTGAACACCCTGGCAAGCCAAGCGGAGAGTAATCCCAATCAAAGTTTGACATCCACCGGCAGCATCGATCATACCCAAGGTAAATCAACCCGCAAGTTTCAGTTATGAGCATCATCCTAAACATACCAAGTACTTTTTTAAATATTTGCATTATTAATTATACAGATATATGTAGTTGTCGACCTTTTCAGCTTTTGTCGCACTGGTTTTTTCATATACGTGTCAAGTAGAAGCTCGTTACCTTCTGTAATCACTTTTTATCGTTCGTCTTGTAGTAGAATTTCCCTATTTCTCAATTCAATGGAGAAATGATAAATTGTTAAAACAAAATGACTGAATAAAAAAACATTAAAGATTAGTTTTCACCACTTGAATCTTTGATTTTCCAAAATAAACGACAGAGAAAAAATCCTATAGATTTTTCTATAGAAAATAATTTTTATCGGAAACAATCTCCATAAAAGAAATCATTTCCTATAGAATTTTTATTGGCAATTTTTTTTCGTTCGAAAATCTCTGGAGAAAAATCTACTGAAAGTGATTTTTCATTAAAAAGAAACTCTATAGCAAAAATGATTTTCCATAGATTATCCTATAGAGAATGATTTTGATAAGCTTTGTATAAAAAAAAATAGAAAAAACTATTTTCTACAACAATTTTTTTAATCGGAGAATGAAAATGATACAAAAAAATGATTAAAATTTACATTTCACCGTTTAATTATTCTCTTTGAAACTCTTTGTCTCGAGAATATTCTACCACAAGACGAACCGAAATCTCTCTTCACATCTAAACCCAAAAAAAAATCTGTCTCCACCTGCCAGACGATTTCTCCCCACTTAATCAAGCGACGAAAAAAACAAAAATTCACTTTGAACCTATCGCCATTAATTTTCTCTGTCACAACGCGAACCAGAGGAATGAGCTTTATCGACACCGGGATTCCAACAAGCTTAACATCACGTGAAATAAAAAGTAACATCTCCAAAGGTTTGCAGCAACAATCTGTCGTTCGACGAAACGTTAATCGTTCTCGTTCATTAAGTTACATAAATCAGTTGTAGTTGTTTTCCATTAGTTTATAGCTAAAGTAGTTTAGACCCTGCAAGTATGTGTTGTAATTGTCGTACAGCTCGAGTAGAAAGTACCAAGGAAACCATTCAAGATGATAAAAAATCAGCGAGTAGTGGTGTCCATGAATTTGTATCTGACAGTGTGAGGGCTTCAGATACCGATATCGAGGAGGTCAGGGTGGGAATGGAAAAGCTTGGTATGAAGCCGAAGAAAGGTCAGTATCACACGATCGATTAATATCACTGTAAGAACTGGTGTCTTCGAGACGTCTAAAAACGAGGCGATTGATAGATAAAATATTATCATAATTTATTTCAATACAAGTTATCAAATTTAAGTCATATTTGCTGTCTTAATTCAAGACACTTTGAGGACTATTCAGTCACTATCCCCATTGAGACATGGAATCATAAGACATTTTTGATCAATTATTCGGGGGACGAAAGGTCTTGAAAGAGGAGACAAAAGTGCCTCAATTTCAGACACTAATTTTGCTGGTGTGGGAATAGATTAATTTTTCACAATGTCTGATTTTCTCAGGGTTCGAATTATTTCAAAACGAATGACTTTATTTGAATAATTAATTGAATTGAGGAATGTGGAGGGGGAAGACAAGACATTTTCATAATATCTTAAAATGCAAGTCACCAAATTTAAGACGTTTTTTGCTAATAAATTATCCATTTTCTTCTAATTTATTGAAGTTCTGAATTTATTGAGAGGGGCGATGAGGGTGGGAGTATACATGGCTTAAGCCTTATTTTGAGACCCTAACAACGACTTAAATTTGTGGATCCAAAAGTCTTAAAAAAGGGGACAAAAGTGCCTCAATTTCAGACACTAGTTTTTCCGGTGTGAGAGTAGATTAATCTGTCATGATTTTCCCAGTCTTTGAATTATTTAAAAACGAAAGACTTTCTTTGAATAATTAATTAAATCGAAGAATATTGAGGGTTTCGCTCCAATTAATTGCGAATAATGAAGAAAAAAAACTCCTGGATAAAGAATTATAAACATGGATCTCCACTCGAAAAACAATTTCCAAGACTATCAACCTCGTAACTCACTTGAACCCTTCATAATTGAGGTTTAATCCCCCAGTAGACTCTCTAATTAATCCAATTACCGAGTGCTCTCATCATCAGAACAATCTACCAGGTTAATTCGTTGAAGTTTATCCCTCGGAGATTTTCCAAAAATTTTATCGCAAATGAACCATCACATTTTGACTCTCAGAATTTAATCAGATGAATTCGTACTGGGTCTAATTTCAGACGTAAGTATGTACGTGAATTTCTGTACAAACAATGAGATACCAGCACGCTGATAGCATCCACTTAGACCTCTGTACAACTCATTCCCTGATTATAAACCACTGTTGCTTAATCGCTGTATCTATGCCGAATATTATTTTCATTGTGCACCACGATGTTGCAACGTTTGGAGAAATTTTAGCGAAGGATTTGACGTTTTTTTTTATTGGAAATTATGTCGATTTTGTGTTCAATTCGTAAGAATGCTATTGAATTTCTATAAAAGCTCGTGAGAATGAATTATATTTTTTTTTCTTGAATTTTGGAAATGAGAAACAATGGGGAAAACTTAAAAAATTACTGTTCGAGAATTTCCCCACAAAAAATATATTTCTATAGACGTTTCTGTAGAAATATTTTTTTTATTGAAATAATTTCATAGAAAAAAATCATAGTATTCTGTATAGAATTTTCTCCGAATTTTTTTCATTGAGTAATCATTTCCTGTAGAAAAAAATATTCTCTAGAATTTCTATAGAAGAAGAATTATTTTTCACTTTTTTTCTATAAAATTTTTTTTTCTTTAGAGAATCTTTCTGTATATAAAAGTCCTTATAAAATCGTTAAAACCTATAGAAATCGATTTCTGCAGACTCTTTGTATAGAAAATCATAATATTTTCCAGAGATTCTATAGAATATATAATTTTCTAAATCATAAGAGTCTATAGAAATAGATTTTTTATAAACACCCACGACTTTTTCCATAGTTTCCTTCTGCCGAAAACAACTTTTATAGACCTCTCTATAGAAAATCTCTTAAAACTTTTTTTTTTTTATAGGAAATCTGTAGGAAATTCTATAGACCTGTCTATAGAAAATTATTTTCGTTAATGAAAAACCACTAACAACCTTAGAATTTACATAAAAATTAATGGAAAATGATATTTCACGAAAAGAAACTCTGCAGAAAAAATCATTTCCTATAGACTTTTTCATTTTCTATAAATTTTTCCCCTTAAAAACTCTATAGAATATTCTTTTTACCAAAAAATTTTCCATCCAAAAATCGTCACAAAAAGTAAATAGAATTTTCAATAGAATTCTTGTACAACAATAGATTTCCCCGGAGCCATTCTATTTCAAGGCGTTTTTCCATTAATTTCTTCATACGTAAAATAAAAAGTAGCTTGAGTGTATCTATCGACCTACTACCTTAGTGCAGTCTTCCAAAAGTAAACTATTGAATATAACCACATAACGATGATTTCACAAAAAAGAGAGAAAAAAAAGCAATTTTACTTGTATTTTGTCTACAGCCTAAGAAGAGGAGAGTCCCGTGTACCATTATCCAAAGAACACCCTCCTAGATAACATTCGTTTGTAGTCAACGAGACATGAATTATCAGATGACAAAATTCAAATATTTCAGTTTTATTTTCACTATTTTATTCCGACAATATCAATTGTTCATTTTAATTTCATTGTATTGGTCATAAACACACAACATTCGTCATCAGATCCCTTATAATTATTATAAAATATAAGATAATTAGGATTGAGGGGGGAGAGATTGTCATGGCGATAAATTTTAGACGATTCGATTGTTCATTGAGTCGCTGAAAGTTCTAGTATTTATTATCATTATTATCATAGTCTTCAGCGGGGGCTGGACATGTTGCGGGAGGTGAATTAATATGAAATAATATCTAGATGAATTTAGTTAATGATGAAAGAAAAAATAGTAGAGAAAATCAGATAGCATGAGCAACTGAGGGGGACATTTCAATTATTAATTAAACCGTTTGTGTAATTGATCAATGATGAAAACCACGCGATTATAACAATTCAATTGACGAATAACAATTTGACTATTTGTCTGTCTGTTTGTCCGTCGTTTGTCTGTTCGTCTGTCTTCGTCGAGAAACATTTAAAGAAAATGAAAATTAAGAAAAATGAATTAATAAAGGATTAATAATACTTTATCTCCAAACTTCGTTCTCTTCGTGTTGTACAATTGTAAGTAAATAATGATGAAATATATGATATTATGAACGATTATCTCGATGATTGGAGTGAGCATTAGCAGACGTTTATAGGTACTAAATTATATTTGTTGGATGACAATACGTGGTTTATGGGGAGTTATTTGAACAAGGAATGTTTTTAATGAGATTATTGAGAAGAGTTTGATATTCACAGCCAAATGCGGAAATTCCTATTATTTGTTGTCGGTTATTTCTTGATTTTTCACACGCGTTTGGCTGCTGGAGAATTTGAAGATTCAGTGGGTAAAATTAGAGGGGAAATAATTCGGTATAAATATGTGAATAAGACGAGTAATTAATAATCGATGGGTTGCGTAGGGGTCGATATGACATTTCCAATTTCAATGGTTGATGAAAAAAATTCAATAGATTTTGATTTTTTAATGAGAAACAAAAAATACAGTGGGAAAATACAAAAATTTATGCTTGGAAATTTCTATATCATTTTTTTTCAATTTGGAGAATTTATAGAAAATTATTTTTTCCTGCAGCAATGTAAGTCTATAAAAATTTTCTATAGAAAATCTGTCTACAAAAAAAATTAATGGAAAATTATGTTTCATAAAACAATATAGAAAGAATTATTCTCCATAGACTTTTCTATAGAAATTTTTTTCTCAAATGGTTTTTATGAAAAAAAACAACAGAACAAAATCATCTTTTGTAGACTTTACCATTCACATGAGTAATTAATAATCGATGGGTTTCGTAGGGATCGAGATGATATTTCCGATTTCAATGGTTGATGAGAAAAAAGTCAATAGATTGATTTTTTTTATGAGAAACAAATAATACATTGAGAAAAATATCAAAATTCTATAGAAAAGAAAAATCATTTTCTATAGCAAATTTTTTCTTGAGTGATTTTTATGGAAGAAAAGCTATAGAAAAAATCATTTTCTATAGACTTTGAAATTCACAGCTAAACGCGTCAATCCCTTTTCTTTTTTTATCACCAATTTCTCGAATTTTCACACGTGTTTGGCTGTTGTAAAATCTGAGTATTCAGTGGAAGAAATGAGAGACAAAATAATTCGGTATAAATATGTGAATAAAACGAGTGATTAACAATCGATGGGTTTCGTGGGGATTGAGATGATATTTTCAATTTCAATGATTGATAATAAATTGTTCCCGCGTGTTAGGAGCCCATTGGTCCACTACCCGCTTTCAACCAGAGAAAATAAATAGTATATGAGGTAATTGTAGAATTAACTGCCTGAATGATCCATTTTCATTACTTTTATCCATGAGTTTTTTCCATTATTTTTATTCATTGATCATTCGTATTATTGTCAATCACACTTCATCATGAATTGTCACACGTACACATACAAAGACACATGATACATGCCCACAACCGTCGGCTATACTAGCTACAACCGCTGCTTGTCACTCTCCGCAGAAGAAGAGTGGGAAGGGGAGTTGGAGGCTGAACTCAAGGATTTCGAGATCGTACCTGGGGATGGGAAGAATAACTCAACCAGTGATAACAAGGAAGACTGGGAGCAACAGATGGATGTACTACTCAATGAGGATGAGGATCTCAAGTGAATTTTCACGGGAGAGGAATCACTGACTTTTCGTTATTACCGTCGTGCTCAATTTATTGAATGAGTGACGAATTTTTCATTGTACGATCGACGAATCCTTAAGGCATCAGTCACTCTCTTCATTACTTTTTTTTATAATGAGAGATGAGTGTAAGTTGGGTAAAATGGGATGTTATTGGATTTTTTGTTCAGTGAGGAATATTTCACGATCCAATGAGCCAATTTCAATTTATTCTCATTTTAAAGTGTAAAAAATTGAATTCAAGATTTTAAAACCATTTTTCATTGCTTTGGCGAAACGAGATTTTTATTAGCAGCTGTAACTCGGAGAAAATGTCTCCAAAATTTCAAGTGAAAAATGTTTATGTTTTCTACAACTCATTTACGTGAAGTTGTCAAATATGTTGTTATTAATAAATCAGTTAATTTCTGGAATATTCAATGAATTTTGAATTTTCAAGTTTATATGACTATTAAAATTATGAAAATTCATGCAATTGTTGTTCTAAACTCTGATTTTTTCAATCAAGTCTCATTTTTTAATTTGAAATTTTTTTTTTCAAAAAGAAAAATAAATAAACAAATTAATTATTAATTAATTCTGGAGGTATTAAAAATTAATTGATGCATTCAATGAAAACATCACCACCAGAATTCATCACCTGACCCAGTGATCCAATTTAAATCAACCGAGTCTCATTTTGAAATTTGAAAAATTATCTTCGAAATGAAAAATTAATTAATTAATTATTTATTCTTGACGTATTAAACATTAATTGATGTATTCAATTAAAAAATCTTGAAATTTTAAATCTAACAAATCATTTAATTTCAGGAAGATTCAATAAAATTACAATTTTCAGATTCATATGACAGTGGAATTTGCTGAAAAATGTAAAAATTCATTGTTCTGCAATCCCAGTCTATTAAAAATTCAATTGAATATGCCTTTAAATTTCCCAATAAGTTAAGAATTCAAGCTGTCACTAATTAACAATAATCCCTACAAAATAAAAAACTCATTTCCGTTGAATTTCCAAAAGGAACAGAAAATCCCATGAACGATATACTCTAAAAGTGAATTTTAAAAAAGTCATTCCACTCCATTTTACCCAGATTACCCCCAATAAAAAAGAAACTACCACTGACTTCGAGTCGAGTCGAGTCTTTACCAATGATAAATAATCAGGGGCTTTTAGAATTTTTCACCTGTCATTCGTTATATTATTGAGAATCGCACAAAGATAATAAAAACAAAAAGAGTTATAAAATATTGTCGTCAGTGCTGCGCCAGTCTCTGTACAGACAAAAGTGATGAATTATTATAGTCAGATGAACCCATAGGATTAACGAATATATATCATAGTTGATGGTCGAATTAACTGGCTTGCGACAGTATCGTGGGGATGTGAATGTTGAATTTACTGATGTGAATTATTGGGGTAATATTTTATTAAAACAATAGTTATTCGACATCCACGCGAACGTCTGTGGTCCATCCATTCTCAATTTTTTAAAAATTTATTTGATTATTGAAATTGTAGTGATGCAAGTGCTTGCTGTAATCCATTATAAAATTACCGCTTTTGAGGATAATTAGAGGGGAATAGAATGAGGCCTAATTGTAATGAAATAATAATGATAATAATGGGAATAAAACGTGATGATTTCAGCGGTAAATAGTCATACGTTGGCCTCCAATCGAATTATCGTTTTTTATTCATTTTTTTTCTCGTGATTTTTTTTATTATTGCTTGACATTTGTTGTTACTCCTTCTGATATTCGGTGAATTTGGTCGAAAGACGAGAGTTTAATGATTAAATTACGATAAAGTTACAATTATGAGACGAGACACAACGTATTGAGTCATATCCGAGTCACGCTGTTACATTTAAATTAAATATGAGAGGATATGAATTACATTCGGTACTTATGTATGTATTATAAATAAATATATGTTGTTAAATCCATTGAAAGTATGATAATATATTGAATTAATGAATATAAGGTAAATGATGCTGCAGATTAAATTTAATGGATACAAAAATGGAATATTGAGGATAAATCGATTATTTAATTGCGATGATGTATAACAATAACAAACTCGTGTACCTCGTGAAGAAATAAAATAAAAAATCGAAATTATTTGTGAGATTTTATTTATTTAGGGGAATTGGATACCTTTTATCTCAAAAAATGATTTTTTTTATTGACAATGAGAATTTTTGGCTATTCAATAATCAAAAACAAGACATTATTTTTCAAGTAGAGTAATAATGACATCTTTTTTATTTTACTTCAGTTTAAAAGAGATATTCTCATACCGAAATTGCATGATGAGCCCTATAATTCATGGAATCATTTTATTACTAATTTTTTTTAATTTTTCATGTTCAGAAAAGAATTTTTTTTATTTAAAAAATTTTCAATTGTTTAAATTTTTTTTTCAGAATTATTCTGATGAACTCTCTCATTTAGAAGATGAAATACTTCTTTCGTTGATTATTTATCATAAAAATAATTTCCTATTTTTTCTTGACATCAACAGTCAATAGAGAAATAAATGCATCGATTTTCTCTAATAATTAAATAAGTTACATTTCTTGTTTCATCAAGATTTTCATCAATCATTAAGTTAGTAATATTGAAATTGTATTCATTAGTAATAATGAAATTTCAAAAATAATATAATAGTTGGTAATTTAAATTTTCAATTCACTAGGAACTAAATAATTGACAATATGCAATCGTCAATCAACTATTAAGGAAATATTTCTAAATTTCATAAAACTATTTTCGATTAGCCAAATAATCATCAATCGTCCAAACTCAATTATTGATTGATAAAATAATTCGCAATTTGAATATTTAATTGATGATTAATTTAATAATTAAACAATTATTGAGTAATATTAATAATTGACTTATTGAAAATTTAATTTTAATGCTAAAGTCAAGGATTAAAATGATAAGGAAAATTTTAATAGCACCAACAGTTGAATTTATTGTCGAAAGTTTCGATAATTTGGATAATAATAATAATGACCAAGTTAAGAATTAAAATGATAGAAAGAAAGATTTAAATAATATCAATAGTTGAGTTTACTGTCGAAACAAAGCTCTTACCAAAAAAAAAGAGAAACCAAAAAAATTTAAAGATAAGCGTCTGAAAAATTATTGCAATATTCATCAAAAACTGACACAGAATTCGAACTAACTTACTCTGCTACAATTTTTTGCACTCATCTGCATTTTGTCTCCCGGAAATGGCTCGAGGAGCCTTGAACATTTTTTTATCTTTTAAATTGATATTCAGGGCTGCCAACAGCCAGTCCGTGGCCACTACAACTAAAAATTTTCATCTTTCTCTGAGAAAATCTCACGTAATTATTATTTCTCTCCTCATTGAATGCTCCACACATGATCATCTTTGGTAGAATTATCTTAATGTTTACAAATTCAGTGAACAATTCTGAAATATTTAATTAATTCCCCTTAAGTTGGAAGCACTTGCATTCGGAGTTACCGCCACACGAGGAGCATCGGTGTCGTTGCCGTCCGGCTCTCACATCAGATGCCTGTTGTGATGTCCAAAGCGTTTAAATAAACATTAGCCCCGTAGTTAAGTGAAAGTATGATTAAAAAATCAATCTGCAAAAATAATAACGAGCAGAATAAATTGTTTTGAAATCGTGAGTACTGAATAGTCGAGTTCTCCTGCGTCGAGCCACACTTCGAGGGTTCCTATGCGGCATTTGTTGGTAATCAGTGTTATTTATTCACTTGAACACTAACTCGAACATCATTCAAATGACAATAATCGAATCACTGGGGAATTCATTGTTTTTATTGGTAGAGGTTGAAGAAACATTCGATTGTTGATTTTAACGAGACAGTAGCATCCTAACCTCAAAGTTGGCTTTAGCCAATTGACACTGACTCTATCCCAATTTTCAAACGAAATCCAGAAATTATTCGGAGGAATGAGAACATGAATCATTAACAATAACTCAATAATGAATAAAATAATGAAAATAAAGGGGAAAAGGGCAAAAGTGATATTTTTACTCCTTAATAATTAGTTGAGTGAAATTCCCCAGTTTTTTTTCATTTCAAAGAATTCCTTCAAGACTTTAAAATGAGAGTTGATTTATCTAAATCGAATCATTTGTTCAGGGCATATTGAAGATTTAAGGAGAACCCTCCCCTAACTGCTTTGCTCGGATTTCAGGAAGCTTGAGCCCTTATTTTTTATATTCTGAATTGCCTGAAGAGCAATCTTCTCCCACAATTAAAAAATTATTCCAAATCTGAAAGACACCAATAATTGACGATAGATCAATAATTAAATGAAGTTGAAACCAGCGAAAGCTTCGCCCGCGAAAGATTCAATTTAGGGGAACCCAGGGGTGTTCAAACATTTTTAAGTCATGAGCAAACTCATTCGCAGTTAAAAAAAATTACACACATGATTCGACCCTCAAACCCCCACAAATCCCTTAAATAATAATTAATAAAATAATGGAAATCCCCATAATTGTTCATAAAATGATGGAAATAAAGGAGAAAGAGACCAAAGTTTTTTATTAACGTTTAAATCCTCAATAATTAGATAATAGCTGAGTGAAATTCCCCAATTTATGTCATTTCAAAGAATTTCTTCCTAGACTTTTTTTCAAGACTAAAATGAGACCGAATTTATTTAAATTACACTACTGACTCAGGAGCTATTGACGACGCATTAAACCCTTCACCCCACCCTAACCAATCCCATTCGATTTCAGACAGCTTGAGCCCTCAATCCCTCAACAATGGACCAAGACCCAAGTGCATCAGACGTCCCCTCCGAGTCCACCCAGGGCATCCCCGAGATTTCTGCATCTAGTCACGAGAAAGAGGATTCACTAGGAGGAAAACCCACCGATCCAAAATCAGATCCCAAGAGTCTTCCCCCTGCCTCAACCAGGCTGACTCCCACCCTGGAGGACCCCATCGAGAGCAGCCTCGCCCAGGCAGACCCCCCAGGAGACGTGGTTGCTCCCCCAGAGACTGACGAGACTGCCCCAGAGAATTCCCCCCCAGAAGAAGCCTCAGAGGATCCCAGTGATGCCCCAGAGGGCCCTTCAGAGGACTCCCCCCCAAAAGAACCATCAGAAGGTCCCGGTGAGGCCCCAGAGGACTCTCCAGTACCTTCCCCTTCAAAAGAAGCCCCAGTATCAGAGAAACCCTCTGAAACTCCAGAAGTTTTTCCAGCAGAAAGTGTTCCAGAATCCTCAGAGAAAGCCTCTGAATCCCCAGAAGGCACTCCAGCAGCCCCTCCAGCCCCAGAGGCCCCAGAAGCCTCTTCTCCAGGTGAGGGCACTCCAGAGCCCTCCGAAACATCTCCAGAAAAAGAGGCGTCCACTGGAGCCCCAAAAAAACCAAAAACCCCATCAAAGTCGTCAACCCCTGGAGACCCCATCCCCATCGTCGACATCGACGCAGACGAGGCAGAAAAATCCTCGAGTGCATCCCCTGGAGCTCGAAAATCCCCAGCCCCCAGTGATGCACCTCTCGAAGAGTCTTCCAAATCCCCGAAGCCCCAAGAAGACGACAAAATAGAATCAGTAACCCTGGACAGTGACCCTGAGAAGGAGGAGGACAAACACCAAGAGCCTGAGAAAACGGAATTCGTACAGATAACCCAGGACAAGCAGGACGACAACCACATAGAGGGCCCGTCAATCGAGGCTGAGGACCCCTTTGGTGGTGACAGCCTAGCTGCTGATGGCGTTGAGCCCATGGACACTGACGACATCAACGAGAGAAACATGAATTTCTCGAAATTGGGGGATCAAGCTGACAATCTCCAGGATGCTGTCAATGCAACGTCCTCGAAGGAGGCTGGAGCCACCGCGGAGGCCTCCGAGGCCTCGAAAAAGGCTCCGAACTCTGAGGAAGTTGAGGAAATAACTGAAGTCCCTGCGGCGGAGACTCCAAAGCCCCAGGATAAGCCTGACAAAGTGAGTCAGAAGAGCAAAGACTCTGATGTGATTGTGATTCCCCTGGAGACAGACGATCAGTCGACAGTTCTGCCAGGCCAGGACGACGAGCTGTGCATCATTCCTGACGACATGAAGATAATTCTCCCTGGGAAGTCTGTCCCCCAGAAGGAGAAGTCCTCGGGGTTGACGAAGCCCTCGAAAGCCTCTGAGAAGCCCTCGTCGTCGTCGAAGAAGACGTCGACCCCTGCGGATGAGTCTGAACCCTCGGACAAATCAAAATCCCCAGAGGAAGCTCCCTCGGAGATCACGGACAACGTGATTGACCTGGACGACGAGTCCAAGAACTCTGAGATCGAGGAGATTTCAACCCCTGCGAAACAGACGTGCAAGCAGTGCAAGGAGGTGAAGCCCTGTAAAATTCGAGTGAAAATTGGAACTGAGGAATTTGGTGTCTGCTCCAAGAGATGCCAGAACTCCTTCATGGAGGCGTATGGAAAGGCCACAGACATTCCCTCTGAGGGGGCCAATTCAAAATACGAAAAACGCTGTGCAAGCTGTCTTCTAATCGTGGAAACGAACGACGAGAGGAACCTCTCCTGGGAGACGATGGAGTTCTGCAACGAAGAGTGCCTGGGGAAGTTCCAGACGAAGTATGGGAGCTACTGCAGAAACTGCAATGGCACTGTTCAGCCAATTTCCCTGGGGAAGTACTGCGTTCGATTTGGCTACGACGTTCGTCAGTTCTGCTGCTCGACGTGTCTGGAGGAGTTCAAGAAAGGTCTGAAGGTCTGCAGCTACTGCCAGAAGGACATCAGCTCTGGTACCGACGGCTTCCTGGCCCCAGTGGGGGACAAGGGCCAGTTCAAGGACTTCTGCACTCAGCAGTGCATGGAGAAGTACTCGAGGATGAACTCGACCGAGCCAGTGCCCCCCGAGAGAAAAGCCTGCAGTGTCTGCCAGGAGGAGAAAATTGTCTTCTGCGAGGTGCAGATAGACAGGGGCCAGTCTCAAGCCATCTGCAGTGAGCCCTGCTTCGCAGCCTTCAAATTCGTCAACAAAGTCGATCCCGATCACTGCGCCACATGCAAAAAATACTTCCAAGTTGGCAACAAGAAGAGCACCGTTGTCTTCTACAACAACGAAGCCCACACCTTCTGCAACAAGAGTTGCCTCAACATCTTTATCATCACCAACAGGAAGATCGTCCCCTGCAACTGGTGCAAAGTCAAAAAATACAACTTCGACATGATAAAGAAGGAGTTGAAGTCAGGGCAGGTCGTAATGATGTGCAGTCTCAACTGTCTCACCCTGTACCAGGTCTCCATAAACGCTGTGTCAGCCAGGAGAATTCGATGCGACCTCTGCAAGGAGTTCTCCCAGGCGCAGTATCACCTCACAATGTCAGACGCAACAATCCGGAACTTCTGCTCTTACAACTGCGTCATGAAGTTCCAGGCTCAATACACTAAATCACCGATAACAATTCCCTCGGGTGAGGATGCACCAGTGCCCACAGGAATGCCCAAACGCACTTATCCAGGAAAGGTCCAGCCCCAGGGGGCTGTCAAGAAGGTCACCGAGATGAACAGCACTCTTCAGACCATTCAAACCAAGAAATCCCTCCCTGTGATATCGTCGGTAGCCAGTCTAGCGTCGTTACCATCCAATGGCCAGCCCGCAGTCACCCAGAAGGCCACCACAAACGTCGTGAGTCTCAACAATGCGACAATAACAAATCCAACAGCTGTCCCAGGCACCCCCATTCTCTTCAAGCAACAGGTGATCACCAGACCCCCGAGTCCTGTACAGATGCACAATAAGATGACCCAGTGCAAGCCTCTGATGCACACCAAGGGGGTCTCAGTGAAGCCCCATCCCTGCACTAAATCAACTCAAACTGACGAGGTCCAGAAGGTCGTCATTCCCATTCCAGTTCCCATTTACGTGCCCTTTCCAGTCCACATGTTCAGCTTTCCCTTTCCGGTGCCCATGCCCTTTCCCCTGCCAATACCAGTGCCAGTCTTCATTCCAACAACGAGAAATAGCGCTAAAGGGATCGCCAAGGAGATCAAGAGGATCCAGGAGAAAATGCCTTCTGATCCCTTCGAGGCTGAGCTCCTCATGATGGCGGAGATGGTGGCCACTGAGAAGAAGAAGACAGAGAGTGACTCGGACTCGGAGGACAATGGGAATGACGAGGGGAGTGAGAGTGTTCAGGAAGACAAGCAGCAGGATGCTGTTGATGGGGGGAATGCCTTCGGCGAGGAGATGCTCCAGATGGCGCTGAAGATGGCCACTGGGGAGCTCGAGGAGCCTGCGGTGGACCTGGAGGCTGCTTTGACACCCAGCACTATTGCTGCCACTCCCCAGGGCGAGGGGGAGGAGAACCAGAATGTCGTGGAGAGGCAGACGCGAGGGAGGAAGAGAACTGTTTCTTACAAGGCGAAGGGGGCCACTAATAAGAAGGGGAGGCGCTCCTCCAGCACTGGGGAGGTGCCTCTCATGCCACCACCAGGAGCACAGACCCCACCGAAGGCGCTGGAACCCCTCGAGAAACCCGATTCCAACATGGCCCTCAAGTTCACTTTTGGGGTGAACGCCTGGAGGCAGTGGGTCGTGGGGAAAAACGTCGAGATGGAGAAAAATGCTGCGGGCAGGCCTGTCAAACCCTTCAAGACTGATCTGCTTCAGCTCACTGCTGATGAACTCAATTATTCACTCTGTCTCTTTGTGAAGGAAGTGAGGAAACCCAATGGGGCTGAGTACGCACCTGACACTATCTATTATCTGTGTCTTGGGATTCAGCAGTATCTCTTTGAGAATAATAGGATTGATAATATCTTTACGGATACGTATTACGAGAAATTCACCGATTGTCTCAATGAGGTGGCCACCAAGTTCTCGGTTCTGTATAATGATGCACAGTTCATTGTTACGAGGGTCGAGGAAGAACATCTGTGGGAGTGCAAACAGCTCGGGGCACACTCGCCGCATGTCCTGTTGAGCACTCTCATGTTTTTCAATACGAAACATTTCAATTTAACGGTGAGACTGCTGTTTATGTGTCTAGTTATTTATTTATTTATCTATTTATTAATAATAATTTTTAACAGTAATTTTTCAACCTCTTGACATTTTTTTTATGGTTTTTGTCTTCAAATAACGATAGGTTATCAATATTTTACATTTTTATCATGTCATTTTAATTAGAGAACAGGAAAAAAATACCAGAGGAGGTCATTTTCTTTTACCGCTGTCAAAATAATCACAGATTTGGTTTCTATTGCTGCATTTTGATAAGATAGATTGAAAGAATATGAAACAATGCAAATGGAAATATCTTATTTCGTGAGAGATTGGAATTGTCGTGATGGTGAAGGGATTTAGGAGGAACTACTAATAGAGAATTGATTATGAGAAATCAATGAAATTATATAATTTTTAACAACAGGAACATGAGAATTCCTTAACTTACTTGAATTTTTAATGAAAAAATGAATATTCAGTACTTAATTAAGCTGAATTCAAGAATGCATTTGCCTAAATTTGCAGCCAAATTTTTTTTAATAGTGTAGGGCAAAATGTCATTATTCACATCGTGTACAACTGATTTTTACAATTAAATAATTCACGAAGATGTTTCATTCTACATCTCCTCTCAAGCCCGACATTTCCAAAAAATAGTCTTTAAAATTGATGATTCAATCATGTTTTGCTATTTTACTCAATAAATTTTGTAACTCAGACCGTGGAGGAACACATGCAGCTCTCGTTCTCCCACATAATGAAACATTGGAAACGAAATCCAGCTGCACAAGCTGCTGCTGGTACTGGCAAACCTCCTGGACCAAGGAATGTACTTCTGAGATTCTATCCGCCTCAAGCTGCCTTAGGTTCGTATCTCCAATCACTCAGTCGAGTTATACCGAGAGGAAAAGATGAATTCCAACGACTAAAAGTAGTTTTCTTTAAAAATACAAAATTTTTACACATTAATTATAACATAATTCAATGAGTTATATGCCTCATCACTTTGGAGTTTGTAGACTAAGAAATTTCTCCACATTATCAACTCATTAATCGTTTTAAATTAATTTACACTATTATATTATCAATAATCAATGAAGATTAACAAACATTTTTGTAATTTTATCAGGATGTTTCTAAAATAATGATTAATTCCCTGGAAATATCTATTTTTTGAAACAAGTAAATGTGTTTTCACGAAACAAAAATGTCAGTTTAAAGTAAAATGATTTCCTTTTTCCGTCAATGAATGTTGATAATTTTCACAATAATCATTATATTAAATTCCTCACAGAGGCAAATTCGAGGAAAAAGAAAGTATACGAACAGCAGGAGAATGAGGAAAATCCCCTGAGATGTCCAGTTAAACTCTACGAATTCTACCTCTCAAAATGCCCAGAGAGTGTTAAAAGTCGTAACGACGTATTCTACCTTCTTCCTGAACGCAGCTGTGTCCCAGATAGCCCTGTGTGGTACTCAACTTCACCTCTCACCAAGGATCATCTCGTGAAGATGCTGAATCGCGTTAAAATGGTCAAGGAGATTAACGTCGCTCTCTGGAGCAGTTAATGAGACTCAATCGTGCTGCAAAACTCTTTCTCATCCAGGGCGTTGTTATTTGTATCAATATGGGAGGTGGAAATGATCAGGGTGGCTGTATGATGCGCGTCCGGTAATTAAGCATTGAGTTCAGTTGAACGCATGACAAGAGTCAAAATTCATTTGCCTCATGATTCAAATTTTTTATGTATAATTTTTAATAATTAAGTAATAAAATAACGAGAAGATTTGTTTCATAATTTCTTGATTAAAATCATTGTCATCGGATTCAGTTTTTGAGTTATTGGAATTTTATAGTACCTAGAGATTATATGAATTCTAATAGATTTTATCGATGAGGTGTTTCAGGAAAATTGGATGGAATTTTTGACAGTTATGAAAATTCTGGTGATTCCCCATAAATTTACGGTAGATCAATGACTTGAGCGAATTCAAAATCCTACGCGGGCTATTATCACATTAAAACCTGAAATTACATTTAAAAATATAAAATCATAGTAACAATGAGGATGAAATTGTCAATTAAATTTCGATGAAAGTGATAATTCGATTGAACATTCATGTAGCCTAAACCACGAACGAATCCATCAAATATTTCCTCATCCAAGTGTTTGTTGTAACAACAAACGCCTGTTCTGGCGGTAGACTCATCCATTATCTGCAAACTTTGGAGATAAAGGAAGCTGTCAAAACATCAAGATCGTTAAGAATTTCACAAAGCTGAAAAATCCTCAGTATTCCTCACTTTTGAGAGGTCGTCACACGTGAATAAGTAAAGTAATTCTCATCAACAGTAATAATACATCAATTCTCCTCATAATTCAGTAGCGAAGTGATGAAACGGTTCAGTCGACTTATTTCCCAGTTGAGTTTTTGAAGAATATTTCCGAATCTAAAGAAGAACACAAAATTTTCGTAATCGCATTTGTTGTAGCTCTCACTCGCGTCTACAAAAAAGATTATAACAAAAATTTTGCTATCTCCCTTAGATTCCGAGATATTCACTGAAAATTCATCAAAATTGACTTGAACCGTTTTACTTCGCTACTGAATTAATTCACCTCGATCCCATCAATTACCCATCTTACTTCATTCTCAACAGATATTTTTAATCAATCACCAAAAAAAAACTACTGCAATCAAAATGAACATTCCCAAAGCAGAGAATGAGAATGAAGAATCACGTCCCATATCTCCCCCAGAGAATTCGAAAAACATTCTCCAAAAAAATTGGAGATTCCCAAGAGGATTTCCGAACCTAACGAAACGTGTTCACGGAGTACTTCTCGAACCGGAAGTGTGGAGATGTCTGCGAAAGGGGAAACTGGTGAAAAACCCCATAATTGACGCATGGTTGCAGCTTATGAAGAATACGGCATCGAGGTCTGGCCTCGCAGTATTACCATTCAAGAGTTCTCATTACGAACTGCTGTCCCAATGCGTGGATGCCCCACCAGTCGAGCTGACCCACTGGCTCTGGGAGAACGACTGCTGGAGGAAGGACGTCTGGCTGTTTCCCCTCATCTACGGTGGCCACTGCAACTTATTGACGATAATCCCCAGGTCCAGGATTTTTCTCTTCATGGACGGACCCCACAAGGATCCCCCGGAGGATCTACTGAAGCAGGTGTGCGGACTGATGGAGTCGGTGAAGGGGGACCTGGACTGGACCCAGTGGACGTTCCACCAGCCGACGGATTATCCTGTCCAGCACCCGATGTCCAACAACTGCGCGATACACGTCTGCGCCTGGAGCTATGTCATTTGCACGGGGGAAGAGCTCGCTTGTGAGCACAAGGAGATGAGCAAGATGAGGAGGATGATGGCTGCGAAGCTGTATGCTGCACCGGAAATGGAGATGGGGTCATCTGGGGGGGACTGCGGGGAGTATAATGCTCCTGTTCGCGAGTCGTCGACGACGTGGCTGGATATCACGTCGAGTGACGGGGTACCTGGGTACTCTGGGACTCTGGAGTACTGTGCTTCGTTGATTGAAAGTCCAAGGAGAGCTTCGTGAAAAATAGATTTTAAATCAACTAGTGATTTTTTTTCACGTTGAAATCGACTTTTAGAGGGTAAATTATGAGAAATTCTGGAATTTGAAATCGAATTATAAAGTTTAAAATAATGAAAATAAATAATTAAATAATTATAATAATTGGTGGTATTAAATTATTTAATTTAAAATTCCAGAATTTTAATAATTTTTTTTATGAGTTACTTAATTTAGAGATGCATATGATCATCAAGTTCATCACTATTTTCATAAATTATTTAATTTCGAGTGAGAAATTGTTCAGATCTCCCAGGATGTGATACTTTAATAATAATTTTAGCTTCATCAGGCCCTAAAATATCTGTACAAACATCTCCAATTTCTCATTATCCTCAACACAAATTCTAAAATTTTTCAAATATTTTCATCAATTATAAAAAGAACTCGTAAATTCTGAAATTAATCGAAAAATTTTCTAGAGTTTTAGGGTTCAGGTATTTTATTACTCGTGTATTCTGTCAATATTCTTTTATAAACAAGGATTCAATCAGTCATCAATACATTTTATAACAAATGCTCATTGTCCCTTCGCTGGCCGAACGAATCCACGTTTGCGTTTCAATTTCTTCCTGGAAATTTCTAGTGTGTTTAATTTGGAGTAGACTTCAGAATAAATGGCTTGTTGTTCTTCTTCTGGGATTGTGGATCTGCGAAAATCATAGAATACATAAAAACTGATGAAACAGCAAGAAATCAATTATTAAAATGAAAATCGTGCGACATCAATTGGGTTTTGATTGCAATTTACGTCAAACGAAATTGATTAATATAGATTCTCCAAATAAGTATTGAAAAATACCTGTATTCCTTCATGAGGTCGTATTTCTCCCAAGGTTTCTTCAACTTCTCAGCTCTCAGCCACTTCTTCGCAGTAGTAATGATCGTACTCTGCACAATTCCCTTCATTGGATATATCTCCCACCTCTTCAGCCATGGCCTAGGCTTCAGGGGCACCTGGAGAGTGTTGATGGGGACTTCACTACCTTCTGGTAAGAGTTCCATCTCCATGTCCACTGGGAATGTACTGTACTCCAGCGGAGCATCACGGAGGTAGTACAATTCCTCATCCAGTCTCTTTTCGAGCCTGAAAAGGAAAATAATCGTAAATAATTTAAAAATTCACATCAAGTATTTTTATTAATTATTGATTTTATTAACTAAATAACTAAGAAATACCAAGAAATTACTCAATTATTTGTCTAATTATATTTGGATGACAAGAAAATCTTAGAATCCCTTAGAATTGACTTAATTTAGGTATTTTTTTAAAGAAAAAATAATCAATAAATTTAAAAAACGAAACAATAAATAAATCAATAAATGCGTAATAAGTACCTCAAGCAATCGATTTTCTGAATGGCAGGATCATACAAATCGAATTTGACCTCAACCCCCTGGTGATCGATAACATTTCTCAGGAGGAAATAGGCCCTCAAGCCACAGCCCTTCCTATCGATACAAATCCCCACGAATTTGTTGGATTTTCCTGGTGCATGAGGCTCTGAGTATGTGACAGCGAGGATCGATCCAACGTAGAACTCGGGGATGTCGAGGACGGTTCTTCTCGCCATCATGTCTATCCTCTCGAGTTTCTCGCGGAGATGATTGCGGAAGCCCGGGGTGGGATCAGGGAGGAACTCGGGATAGACGAATCTGTACTGAGAGGGGACCACCGGTTCCTGGCTTCGGGGTTTTACATACTCAGGGGTTTTCGGGCTTTGGGGGTCCTTCGGTGGAGACTCCTGGGGGGCCTGTGCGGTGGCTGCGGGGGTGGAGAGACATCTTATGTCTTTGTCTTGAAAAAGTCGAAATTGAGATGGAATTTTCCAGTGAAATTGAGTAGAATTGTTAAAATGATGCATTCGAATCAAATAAAACTATTTACTCATTCGAATTTTTCTCGACAATATTTTCAAACATATTTTTCAACAATTTTTTTGCTGAAAATTTGAAAACTCATGTTTATTGCAATGGAAATGTTTCAATTATATGAAACAAATCAATTGCATGTTAGAAGCAAATAAATTATTTATTTCACCCAAATAAATGTTTATTTCAGTTTAATAAACTCATTTTCGTCATTGTCAAAACGATGATTTAATTTCTGACTAATAAAGTCTATTTTGCGATTCATTTCAACAATATTTTTGTTTAAAAATCATGAATTCATATATTTATTTCCATGAAAATGCTTCAATTACGTGAAATAAATCATTAGTTATAAATTAATACAAATATTAGAATCAAAAAGACGACTCATATCCAAATAAAGGATAATTACAGTTCAATAAATTTATTCTCTTCGTCGTCTTCATAATGATTCTGTTTTCAACTCATGAAGATTTTATGTGGATCCAATGAACGTTTTTGTATTTGAAAATTTATTGATTTAATGGGAATAAATTAGAAACGAAATGTCAAAATACATGAATATCCTTAAATAATTAGTAATAATAATCAATCAGTAATTAATAAGAAGTCATTCACCAATCGGTTTCCTATCTCTTGATAAGAGATCACGTCTCACTAAAAGATAATTCAATTTATAAATTAATTTATCTAGTTTCCAATGGAAATAGTAATTATTTTAATTAGTTAATCCTAATTATTAATTTTTTTAATATACCGGTTGCTTAGATTGTTAAAACATCGGAGTGAAATAGGTTAGGTCGTCACATGTCAAATTTATCAGAATAACTAGTGTCATCGTCGCTTTTTCGGTTCTGTGAAATTTGTCGAGTAATTTAGCATTAATAATGTACTTCATCAACTTACAAATTGTTTTGAATCCCGAAAAATGAGATCGGAGTTGTCGAGACAGAGCTAAACCCACAGCTGACATGTTTTATTACGCGATGAACGTCAGTCGTGCGAAGCTTTGGCGCGAGTGACAACGATGGCCAGGGTTGGGCGTGCAAATTACGTTGGTAAATTACACCGTTTTTTACCGACGTAATTTACGTAAATTACCTCGACGGATTTTTTACATTTTTTACATTCCTTCGAAAAGCTTGCAATTTTCGATTACTAGAATGTTTTATTTTATTCCGAGTGACGAAGGCGCAGTATTGGACACATAAAAAATAGTATATTATGGCCCGAGGACAGATAAACAGCGTATTTTAATTTCACTTTGTTCGGTTAGAACGCGGTTCTCGGTACTTGAGGCATAAAATATCATTTTATGTCTCTAGGATCGTAAAACTGCGATTTTAACATCGATGTTCTCGGTTAAATCGCGGTTTTCGGGCCCGGAGACATAAAATATTGTCTGCCACACGGCGATAAAATTGTTTCCTGACTCGAGTGATTAAAATCCTCTATTACTATAAAGAGTAACAATTTATGTTATGTTGCTCCAAATTGACTGCAATTTTTAACCGCACTTTTGCTCATGTTAATATGTGCATATTAACTCCAAATTTTTGCTGCAAATTTGAAGCAAATTTAGGTGATAACTTGATGGGTTATCACCTGCATGTGTCGTTCTTATGACGCCAAACTGACGACAAATTATTTACAATCTTGCGGCAGAAAAAAAATTAAACTTGCTGGTAAATATCAGTGGATCGGAAAGTTTTGCTATCTGGGTACGAGGTGAGACTCTCGTGGTTTATCACCCTTGTGAGGTATAATCATCGCGAAGCTTCACGGTTTACGATAAAAGGTAACGTCGGCTGGTTTTTTACATTTTTTACATTTATTACGTAAATTACACGTTTTTTACAATGTCATGTAAAAAACTACGGTCATCGACAGATGCCCAAGGCTAACGATGGCGATCCGTCGGCGGCTTATAATAACTCGAGAACTCGATGCAAATCAAATCTTCATTCGAAGTGGTGAAAGTGTTAGCAACAATATAATTAATAGAATAAACTGTCAAAATCTCCGAATGTCTCTTCAACAAAGGAAATTTTTCTTTGTTCATGAGATTATAATCTCTCGAAAATCGAGGAATTGAAGAGATTTTTCCTATTTACTAACGATGAAAGAAACGTGAATTCTTCAATTGGAAAAAAAAATTTCTGCGTCATATTTTCCATTTTTTCGTGTTTTAAGTTTATGTTTATATCAAAACATTGCCTAATTATTGATCATGAGAGAAAAAACATTGTATTTCTAAATTTATTTAACGCACAAATTATTCTTCACTTCCTATATTTTAATTTTTTCATGCTTATCATATACAAAAATTATCATTCTTGCTTCTCAAATTTTCATACATGAATTCTAATCTCTACGAAATTTATGAAAATTCTTCGGTTTCCCAAGTAATTCGAGAAAAATCTTTGAAGATCTACGTATCTGGAAAAATGTGAAACTTTTCGAAGAATTCAAGGAAATTTTTTCAGAGCAACAAATGTTTAAAAAATAATAATGCTTTGCAAAATGTAATTTGAATTACGCTGAATATTCATAATTTTTTTCAAATTTTTCTCACCCAATTTAATTTCCGCATCTAAGAGAGATGACAAAATTTTTGTAATGACCTTTTTTATCGAGTGAATTGAGTGCTACAGAGAAGGTTCAGTCAAAAATTTTGCCATCTCCCTTAGATTCTGAGCTATTCATTGAAAACTGGTAAATAGTCAAAATCGATTTGAACCGTTTTACCATTTCGTTACTGAATTAATAAATTTGGTGATTGAAAATTGTTGAATCTACAGTGTGGTCTGTACCAAACTGTAAAAGATACTTGGACCCCAATGATCGTAATCACTTCAAGTGGTGACATTGTTCCTCTATTCAAGCCCATGACAATGATCTTCAGTTGCTAGGCAACGAAATCGAAAACATAGCGACGCTCTCCCCCGTACGGAATCCACCCTGAACCCTTGATTATTTACGGCGTATCTACAACGATGACAATTATTAATTCCAATCAATCATGATTTTGAAGTATCTCGGGACAGTGTTGTCCTCCAGTGATAGTGAGAATCGCGTGGTGGCTCTCGCCTGGTCACCAAATAATCTTAAACTAGCTGTCGCTTTGTCAGACCGTTCAATTTACTTGTTCGATGAGAATGGCAACAGAAAGGATCGGTTTTCGACGAAACCTGTGGACTCAAAGGTAATTATTCTTTTATTACCCACGTAAATCATCCATTTATTCAAGAGTCTCGAAAATGAGTGGTCAGAACAATTCATTCAAACAATTTATTCCAATAATTTTGTCAATTCAGTTTGGAAAGAAGAGTTATGTCGTGAAGACGATAACTTTCTCCTCGGACTCGACGAAAATTGCTGTTGGTCAGAGTGACAACATCATCTACGTGTATAAAATCGGGGAGGACTGGTAAATATATAAAAATGCAGATTTAAATATCGACTATTCAGGTGGAAAAGCTTGATCTGTCAATTTTCCACATCTTTATAAGAATTAAATTCCCTGAACAGCACGCGATTTTATGAAAATATTTGAGAATTTTTTGTTTTCAATTTTTTGTCAGAATCCAATCAAATTCTATCGAATTTTTATTGAAGTTCTATTGAAATTCGTCGGTCCGAATTTCTTAATTTTTGTTGTTTAATTTTTTAATTAGAGGATAAGAAATAAAGTGAAAAAATTGGAAAATTAATGTCGAGGAATTTGTATAGTATTGTATAGAAAGATCAAAGTCGATTGATTTTTTTCTGTAATAAAATTATTTCTATTCAATATTCTCTATTGTATCTGAAGTTCAATATAAGTTTCTAGAATTCGTTAGAAAATTCCATTCAATTTTTAATGAACTCCTTATTAGTTTTTGAAAAATTCCTCAGTCCATCAGCACATTTTTGTTCAAAATACGTACGATAAATATTTCATGTAAAAAAATCGATAGAATTCGATTTTCCTATACAACTTATTTTATTAAAATATTTTCTATAGAAATCCCTCGCATTAACTTTTGAATTTTTTTTCGTTTGATTTTTTGAATGAAAAGAAAAAAGAAATAGACTAGCAACAACTTCGAAGGTTCATTTCGAGGAATTCCTGTAGAAAATGTCTCAATAAAAAGATGAAATTCTACTGATTGAAATCTCGGCCTTTTAACACTTAATTATTAATGAATGAGCCCTGTTTCGAACATTTTTGAATGAAAAATTGATTATTTATATTCCAAACTTGAGATTAAAAGGTTGAAAAAAATTTATGCAAAACCCCTCTTGTAAAAATAATGCCTCTTGAAATATTCTTTCAAAATCGCTCGTCCCCAGACAATTCTCCCACTCCCCCAACTACAGCATCAATTTTTTCCCCAGGGGTGAGAAAAAAGTAATCTGCAACAAATTCGGCCAGAGCAGTGCGGTCACTTGCATGATATGGCCCCCGGAGGGCCCAATAATTGTGGGTCTGGCGGACGGAAAGGTCCGCGTCTCCATTTTAAAAGCCCACAAAGCCCAGACCCTGTACACAGCTGACGCGATGACAATCGCTCTGGCGGCGAACGTCAAAAACACTGCGTTCCTCTCGAGCCACGCGGACGGAAGCATAATCCGTTACTTTCTCAAAAGCGACGGCAACACCGAGCCCTCGGGTCGAGTCGTCACCCACGGGGTGCCAGCTTACGCCCTAGCTTGGGCTCAAGGTCACATTTGCGCCGGCGGATGCGACAAGCGTCTGACCTTCTACGACTCCCACGGAAAAGTCGCCAAAGTCTTCGATTACTCGCGCGATCCCCAGGACAAGGAAATCTCCGTTGCCTGCTGTAGTCCAAGCGGCCAGAGCGTTGCGATCGGGTCTTGGAACAGGATTCGAACCATCGACTGGAGCCCCAGACGCGCCGTCTGGGAGGAGACCAACAGCCGAGAACTCCCAAACTTCTACACCGTGACTGCTCTCTCCTGGCGGCGGGACGGCTCCAGATTGGTCATCGGGGGTCTCACCGGTGCTGTTGAACAATTCGAGACTGTTCTGAAACGCGCGATGGTCAGAGGAAGCCACGAAGTTGCCTACGTCGGCCCCAGTCAAGTCGTCATCCGTTCGCTGAACAGCTCCAGCCGTCCTGTGATCATCAAATCCTCGACGGGAAATGAGATCGAAGACGTCAGGGTGATGGGACGCTCGGACAACCACATCGTCGCAAGGACGAACTCCACTCTTCTCATCAGTGACATCGACCTGAACCTCCTGAGCGAAATCCCTTGGGAGGATAAGCCAGGAAACGAAAAGTTCTTCTTCGAGTATCCGGGGGTCTGTCTGATCTTTTACGCGGGAGAGCTGACCATCGTGGAGTACGGGAAGAACGAGATCCTGGGGTCTGTGAGGACTGAAGCTGTCAACCCTCATGTGGTGTCGGTGAGGATCAACGAGCGTCAGGTGGTGGGGATGCCTGACAACAAGCGGTTGGCTTATCTGCTTGACCCGAAGACAGTCAGGATCATCGACTTCCTGACGGGTGCGACCATCAGCATCATCAGTCATGATGCCAGAGTCGACTGGTTGGAGTTGAGCGAGACTGGCCATCGGTTGCTGTCGAGGGATAAGAAGGGCCGGCTCTGGCTTTGTGACGACAAGGGAGGAAGGACGCTTCTGCTCACTGGTACGGGGTTCGCTTCGTGGGTGCCCGGAAGCGATGTTGCTGTCGCCCAAACTGGGAATAAACTCGCTGTCTGGTACAACGTTGACGCACCGGAGGCTGCAACCCTCATCGCGATCCGAGGGGATGCCATTGACATCGAGAGAGAACCAGGGAAGACAGCTGTTGTCGTAGAAGACTCTGGATCGCGAGTCTTCTACCCGTTGGACGAGGGATTAATTGAATTTGGAACGGCTCTGCATGACAACGACTTCGGGAGAGTTGTCCTCTTCCTTGAAGAACTGGGGGATCGACCTCAGGTGGAAGCCATGTGGGAGAACGTAGCTAGGAACGCGATGGCGGAAAGGAAGTTTCTGGTCGCGGCTCGATGCTATGCAGCTCTGGGAGACGTTGCTTGCTCGAGTTTTCTCAAGGACATCGTGAAAACCGGAGAAAAGTACGCGAAGGAGACTGGCAACGATCCAATGGGCTCTCCAGACTGCTGGGCTAAGCTGGCGATACTCAGTGGAGAGCTGAAGACGGCTGAGGCTATCTACCTCGAGCAGAACGAACTCGATAAAGCGCTCAAGATGTACCAGAAGTACTGGCACTGGGAGGACGCCCTGAACCTCGCAGAGACTCGAGACTGGTCGGGCTTGAAAGAACTCAAGGAGAAGCACTTGGCCTGGCTAGCGAAGAGCGGTCAATCGGCAAGAGCAGCCTCGATAATTGAGAGCGACGATCCCAAGAAATCGGTGAAGCTGTTTCTGGAGGCTGGACGGGCTGGTCGGGCAGGGCGTTTGCTACTGGTGCACGAGGATCTTCTCGACGATCAAGACCTCACGAAGCAGGTGGTCAAGGCTCTCAAGGCGGCAGACCTCATGGAGCTGGCGGGGGAGATCCTGGAGAGGACCAACGACTTCCCAGCGGCGATAAAATGTTACGGAGAAGCTGGGGTGTTCGCGAGAGCCCTCGATCTAGCCAGATCCGTCGAGCCTAATTCTGTTGTCTCTCTCGAGAAGGAATGGGGCCATCATCTGGCGAATGGCGGACACTTCGATGCGGCCATCAATCACTTCATCGAAGCTGGGGAGACTGCATTGGCTCTGAATGCTGCGATCAACGCGAGGCAATGGCGGAAGGCTCTGCAAATCGTCCAAGTCATCGACAGCGATGATCCCCTGATTCAGGAACAGTGTGCAAAGCTCGGGGAGTACTACGCGTCGATGGGAGACGCGAACCTCGCGGAGAACCTCTTCCTCCGGGCGGGGGTTCCCCAGAGAGCGGTGGAAGTCCAGATAAAGTCCAATAATTGGTCTAGAGCGTACGAAGTCGCCATGGAGTACATGAAATCCGAAGAGGCCGTTGATGTCCTCACGGGTCATGCCGAGAGTCTTCAGGAAGCTGGAGACTTCAGATACGCGGAAGCTCTCTTCGTGGCCATTGGTCAGTACGACGCCGCCATTGCGATGTACAGAAGAGCGGGACTGCGGAACGATATGATACGACTAGTCGCCGAACATCGACCGGATCTTCTGAAGACGACTCATGCTTATCTGGCGAGGGAGCTAGAGGCCGCCGGCAAGACCAGAGACGCTGAAGAGCACTTTCTTGGCGCGGAAGACTGGAAGGGAGCAGTTTCTGCTTACAAAAACGCTAACATGTGGGAGGACGCTCTCAGGGTCGCCAAGATGGCCGCGGGGGACAAGGCGGGGCAGCAGGTGGCGCTCATGTGGGCTAGGACGCTAGCTCCCGAACTAAGTGCGAGACTTCTGATGAGGTTGAACTATTTGGACGCTTGTCTCAACATCGCTTGTGAGGCGGGGTTGTTCGAGTGGGCTTTGGAGACTGTCAAGTATGGGAATGCTGACCAGCAGAAGGAAGTTTACTACAGGTACGCGATGGCATTGGAAGACGAGGGGAAGTATCAGGAAGCTGAAAAGGAGTTCATTCGGGCGGGAAAGGCGACTGAGGCTGTGCAGATGTACATTCACACTAGGGATTGGGACGCCGCGGAGGAGGTGGCGCAGTCTGTTGGGCAGGAAGCCGTGGCTCAAGTCCTAGTGGCGAGGGCTTCTGAAGCCGCTGACAACCAGGACTTCGCGTTCGCGGAGTCGTTACTCCTGAGGGCACACAAGCCCGATATCATTGTGGAGCATTACAAGAAGGCGGGGATGTGGTCAGAAGCCATGAGAGTCTGCAGAGAGTACCTGCCCAGTCAGGAAGCTTCGTTGAGGCGTGAGTTATCTCAGAAGAGTTCTGGGATCGAGGGGGTGAACAGCTTGGAGGAAGCTCGACGCTGGTTGGAAGAGGGGGAGGTGCGAACTGCCTTAGACATCCTCATCTTCGATCCACATCCTTCGAGACCCATTCTCACTCAAGCTGCTGACATCCTACTGAACCAAGCTGAACCGGAGACTGCTCTCCAAGTTGGCGGTGATCTGGGTAACAAATTAGTGCTTCTGGGAGAGCACGCACTAGCCGCTCAGGTTTATCTTCAAGCGGACAAACTCAAGGAGGCGATCAATGCGCTGGCTTCTGTTGGCGACTGGGTGAGAGCGAAACGAATTGTTCGGGAACTTGCGCCAGAGTTGGAGTCCTATCTCGAGGACAAGTACAGGGAGAACGCGGGGAGGGATAGTGTGGAGAGGATGTCAGAAGGAAGTGTAGACTCAACCCTGGAAGCCTTAGCGAGAAAGGGTCAGTGGATCCAAGTCTTCGAGGCCGCGAGCTCTCAGAGCCCTGAGCTTCTCCATAAGTACGTGGCCCAGCGGGCGGCTCAGCTGCTGAAATCTGGAACTCCTGAGCAAGCTCTTCATCTTTACAATCAATTTGGAACTCCACCCATCGCGCAGTACCACAATCTTTATTACCATCTGGCCGAGGCGGTGTTGAACTCTCATGATGGGTCTCTGGACGCTCGGTACAATCGACTGTCTCAACTCCGGAGTTTCCTGTTGGGATTGCTGAGGAACATCGAGAGTTCTTCGTCGAATGAAGACAAGTTCGGGAGATTGTTAAGAGCCACCCATTACTCAGCTGTCAAAGCCGCTTGCCGGGGATTCCCCCCGGTGTCTCACCTAGAGATGAAGTGTTCCGTCTCTCTACTGAGATTCTCTGACGTCTTGTTGGCTGATAGATGTTACTACGAAGCCGGGGTTGACTGCAGAAATGCTGGATCTCACAGCGAAGCCTTTGTCTTCCTCAATCACTTCTTGGATCTTGAGGAGTGCATCGAAGAGGGTGACGGGAGTATTCTGGATGTTGATGATCTGAGGATAACGGACTTCCCTCTGGAGGTCCCGCTGCCTGAAGACCTGAGTCTGTCGAGGGAGGAGAGGGAGGAGGTCAGGGAGTGGGTGCTAGCTGTGTCCATGGATCAGAAGGTGGAGCAGGGGCTTCCTGTCGACAACAGGGGGGTTTACATCGGGTCCTTAACGTGCCCTGCGAACGGATCTACTCCGCTGCAAGAGTGCGCGTTGACTGGGTATCCTGTTCGAGGGGCTACGGTTAGGTTCGAGGGGAGCAGTCGAGTTGTTGACAGGGAGGACTGGAATAAGATGCTGAGTGCTGCTAGGCAAGCACCGCAGGACTCTCCTCTCAATGATGTTCTTGCGTTTGTACAGGAGTGGTGTGGCAATTTACCTAGTTATACGTTTTAATTGTTTGTTGTAGAGTAGGGGAATGTTTTGGGAACGTTTGTATTTGTAAGAGGACCATGTCCTGTTGATCATTCGTTTCACCAATCAGGGGGCAAAATTTTCCCGCCAATTCTATTTTCTTGTGGAAGAAGACAAATGTGATACCTCTTCCTGCAAACGTCCGCATACGATGAATAAGGAAGTAGCGAATAAAACCAGTTCAGTTATTGTTGTTTCATGGTTCTATTAAAATTCTAGGAGCATTATTCCTTGAACGAAACATCTCCCCTCAAACATCCCCTCATATTTACATATATTTTCTCTTCATTCAACCCTAATCTTCCAATTCAACTTTATAAACTATAAACAGAAGAGAAAAATATATGATTAGATAGGATCTTCCTGTGGTCATTCCCATCCAGTCGCGATCTATAACAAATTCTTTGTTTGCAGATCGCAAAGTTTTCCCGCCAATTTTACTTCCTTCCAGGTTAGGCACTCGACTCACCTGCGAAAGGTTCCGAGTTGAAATCCCAGTCGGTCACATGATGAAACCAGATAAATTCTTGACGATTAATAAGAAAGTAGAGAATAAAAATAGTCTAATTATTCTTGTTTCATGTTTTTATTAAAACTACGAGCATAATTCCTCGGGCGAAAAATCTCCCCTCAAACATCCACTCATATTTATATATATTCTCTCTTAATTCACCCCCACTTACAATTCAACCTTGCACACTGTAAACAGAAGAGAAAAATACACGATTAGACGGAGTCCTCCAGTGCACTGCCATCCAATCATTCACTCTGAATTCAACATTAGTACATTTCCGCCTAGTATTAAACTATATATATAACATTATGTATATTCTTACTGATTCGCGTGATTTAATACATACACTTCATGAAAACTGATAAATCAGGGGTGATGAACCCCCGATCACTCCATACTTTACATTTATCACTGCCTCCATGTTCGTTACATCGGTGTAATCCTGAAGACCGGTCCGATCCTGAGGAAAAATCTTCGTAAAACCGATCGAGGCTCTGGCTTGAGATCGAAACACATGACTTCGCAGAGTAATGAGTAACAATTAGCCGCATGAACGGCGAATCTGTTGTCACACATTTTAAGAATCCTATTGAGCAGAAGAAGGAGAATAGGTGTCCAGGCGTCTCTATGAGCTTCATTAGAAAGTGCCAGAAAGTACTCCAAAGCCTCCCTCGAGGTCTCCACGAGATGCGACTCCACAGTCGACCAATTGGCCCGATGGGACTCGTCATTGTACATTTTGAATAGAATCCTGAGGGCGCAAGCCAGCGACTGCGTCTCCTGCTTAAGCAAATTGGGTTTGGCAGTCCCCCTGAATCCTGCTTTCCAGAGCACATTCCTCTGTTCATTATTGACATTGAAGCTCTTGGCGAAACGATGAGACCTGAGTAGGCACTCAACAAGCTGAATCAGGTGTATGGTGTTGAGGGCGGAATACATGCCCTGCTCCTCCTTCTGCTCACTGCCAGACCCATCCAGTCCAGAATCACTGGACCTCCCGTTGAGCATGTCAGCTTGGGCCAGCGCCAGATTCTCCTGGTCCTCTTTTCTGGACGTCGCCGGGTAAAACACGATGTTATCAATCGTCTGGATCAACTCCAGCTGAACCACACACTTGATCAACAGCGCGGAGAAGATCCTGTTGCTCCCCACGTCCGAATTGCTGCTCGTCAAACTCTGAGTGCTGTTGCTCCTCTTCAGAATCCCCACGTGATTCTCATTCTCCCCAGTAATCACGTCGAGATCTGACTCCCTGTTGATGGAGGGGGGCTTCCAGGTGAGCAGAACTCCAGGCAAAGTGCTCTCGAAGATGTCTAGAATGCACCTTGTCGTCTTCGTCCAGGTGTCCTCGTCGAATTTAATGCCATTACTGATGACGAGATTCTCGAGACAATTCGTCCCTGATCTCGCCAACTGCTCGTTGTCCTGTTGCACGCACCAGAGGAGTTGGGAATACAGTTGGGCCAGGAGCAGGGGCCCCAGGACGTCGTAGAACTGCGAAAAAACGTCTACTATGGCGTAGAGTGCGTGGTTGCAGGTGGTCGTCATCCACTCAGCCTTCTCTGTGTGCTGTTCAGGCAGCTTCATGTTATCGAAAATCCTGAAGAGGACCTGGAACAAGTCCTTCCACCAGTGAGGCTTGAAGGAGCTCCCGTGAGTCTTCACCACGTCGAAAAGCACAGTCAGGGCTCTTGTTCTCACGTCCAGTTTACACCTGCTGACAACACAGGACAGCTCGAAGAGGAGGGGAAACCAACCCCTGACCCAGGCTCTGTCCTCCTCCGACACCATTCCATTCTCATCCATCATTCCCTCAGCGAACATCTGGGGGTTGGCGTCGATGTACGAGGCACTCGTGCGAATCAGTCTTATCGCTTCCATACTTGTGTCCGGAAATGACGAATTGCAAGCGAACTCGCTCAGGCACTTGACAGCGTCTTGAAAGGAATCCACCATGATACTGAAGTCTTCGGCGTAGAGCTCGTTGATTATCTTTCCGGTCATTGAGAAGGCTAGGGCGACGACGGACTCGTCTCGGTCACTCGCGGCGTGGTGGAACACGCTGAAAATGTTCTTCCAGCCTGATCTTATGTTCGGCGCTTGCGAGTGGACGATCTGGGCTACACATCTTACTACCATGTCTCGGATGATTGGAGATCTGTTCTTCTTCATTATGTGCTCGAAGGGCCGCAGGAACTCTTTTTGAAACCTGAAGTTTGAAATAGGAAATTAGGGGAATTTTAGGAATTGTCAGTAGTTGTTTGAGCTCGTTATTTGGGCGGATCATCGTCTATCTAGGTAGAAACTGACGGTTATTTTTGTCTTCGAATAGTTTTTTGGTCTTTTTCTGTCGTTTAGTTTCGAGGATTTTCTGGGGTATAGAATTGTCTGCATTATTTGTTATGAATTTTATGAGGTTTCAATCACAGACGAACAATCATTTAAAATTTTTCATTTCATAAAATGATTCATTAGGGTTTTTATGTGAACCAAGACTTTTAAAAATTTCAACTTCAGAATTTCGAACGTCTCAATTCGGGATTATAAACTAACTGTCATTTTTGTCTTCGAACAGTTTTTGGATCATTCTAAAAATTTATCTCAATTTGGAACTGTAAGAAATTATTTGAAAAATCGCACAGTATTCTGTATGAGTCAAGTCTTTTAAGCCGCGACTTCCAAGTTTCAACTTGAGAATGTCAAACCTCTCAATCGATATCATACGCCTCAGAATAGATCTTTCTCTTCGGCTGATCCTTACCTGAAATTCGCGAATTCCCCCTTCTCAATGAACTTCGTGGCAAGCTGTCTGAGAGAGTCCACAGCGAAGAAGGCGATATTCTGTCTGGGGCTGCAGCCGACCCGATCGAAATGGTCGCCCACCACCTGCCATATCCTGGACCACTGCAGCCTGATTCTCCCCATGTTGTAGTAGGATATCTCCACGATCTTCGTCAGGGAGAACATCCTGGGCTGCGTCGGGTGGGACAGCTCCTCCAGGGACACCTGGCAGAGGGCCTTCACGAACTCCACGATGGCGTCGCCATCCAGGCGCGTGGAGCCCGTGAAGATCCTGTCGACTGCCACCACAACACTCTGGGAACTAGTCTCTCCAATGGACTCCTTCACACTGGGGTCCAAGGAGGAGAGGTTCAGGCTGTTGGACTGGTGCGAGTTGTTGTGAGTCAGGCTTGTGAAGTTGTTCAGGGGCGAGGGGAAGTAGGGCTTCGAGGGGGGCCCCAGCAGCTGGGGCCTTATCCCAGTGCCAATCAGCTGGGCCAGCTCCAGCTGAGAGATGCACTTCACCACGTCCAGCCAGGAGCTCCCCAGGTAGTTGCCGTCGGTGTGAGCTATCGTTATCAGGGTCTTTATCGTGTCGATGTTTTTGGCCTTCATCTCGGTGATGGGAGAGTTGGCGGTCAGCAGTGTGAACCTGACGGTAATCAGAGTATATAACTACTCCAACGAATTTTTCGAGGAATACTGAATTAACGCCCGGGTGGATTACCTTTCGAACGCTATCTCGATTGTTTTCCATCTTCATAATGTAAAATATATGACAATTTCCATTGGATTTTACATCACGTAGGAGTCCCTAATAATTATGATTGTACAGTAAAAAAAAGTAGAAAAAAATGAACATTTTCGGAGAGCGTTTTTAATAAACATTAAGAAATAAGTCGGATAGAGAGGAAATTGGGAAGGGATAATTCATCATAGTAACTAACGATCTGGTAGCCATTGACTACTGTGACAAATGACCTAACAGCCATTAGATACATTAAATTATCAATTTGCAATTTCCTCTCTATTGGGTTTTTTTCGCAATATTATTCAAAAACGGTCTTTGAAAATGTTTAGCTTTTTTTCAACGTTTTTTTTATTGTACAATCATAATTTTTGGATGTTTTTCAGGGCTATGGAAAACTGAATAGCAATGGGAGAATAAAGAAAACAATCAAGATTATCTTTCGAACGTTATCTCGATTGTTTTTCCATCTTCATAATGTAAAATATATGACAATTTCCATTGGATTTCACATCACGTAGGAGTGAAGAGAAAAATTATGATTGTACAGTAAAAAAAAGTAGAAAAAAACATTTTCGAAGAGCGTTTTTAATAAAGATTAAGAAATAAGTCTGATAGAGAGGAAATTGTGAACGGATAATTTATCATGGTGACTAACGATCTGACAGCTATTGATTACTGTGGCAAATGACGACCTAACAGCTATTAGATACATCAAATTATTAATTTGCAATTTCCTCTCTATTGGGTTTATTTCCAAATATTATTCAAAAACGCTCTTTGAAAATGTTCAGTTTTTTTTCAACGTTTTTTTTATTGTACAATTGTAATTTTTGGAGACTCCAGGGCTATGTAAAAGTGAATAGCAATTGAAGACCATTTCAGATTATCAAAACGAAGAAAACAATCAAGATCACGTTCGAAAGATAATCCAGACAGGCCTTGATTCATTTATTAAAAAAAGAAATTGAAATCAACAAGAAAATTGAGTCGGACTCAATTAGGTAATGCTAAGGGCTGGCGAAGCTTGATACTTTAACAAATAAGTGCTTCACTACACGTTGAATTTATATGAACACCTCATAATTGGAATTTAAAAAACTGCTTTAGAAGGAAAAGCGTAGAATGGGAGGTCCCGTACATCTACATGATCACACACGTTACCAATAGCTCAAAGAAGGTTAAATTCATTTATAGCAGCCAGTTTCCGACACATTATACGTCGAAATACTTCAAGATCACACATAAAAACTTAATATTTAGCTATCAGTATCTCGGGAAAATTGGAGTTGCTATATTAGCTAATTACCAACCTGGCTAGGGCCTGGACGTAGGCGTCTCGCTCCAGGGACATGTGGAATATGCAGGCGATGCGGATCGCACATCTGATGCCGTCCAGGCAGAGGGAGGCGATCTCCGGGTCGTCACAGTCCTGGAGGCCCACGCTGAACGCTGCCAAGAAGGGGGTCCACGCGATCTTGAACATTGGACGGACGTGCTCCAGGTGCTTGGCTGTGGTGAACGGCGCCTGCACGTGACTCACTGAGTCCATGAGGTTCTTCGCTGCTGTCGAGATGAGCTCCATCTCCATGTTCCAGAGAAGGCGACGCTTCTTCTCACTGGAGATCACTGAATCATCATGATTTTAATCATTTCATCAATCTTCCGTCAAAAGTACACTTTCTAATTTTTTTTTTTCGTATTTTTAAAATGTTTTCTAACGGTTTAATATCGAGATTCAAATTTCTATTGTCCTTAATAGGAAATTTCCAATAGAAACTATTTTATAGACAAAATCTAGCATTTTGGTTTCTATTCAAATTTTTCTATTGAGACATTTTTGATAGGAACTCTTCTACATAAATTTTCTATCTTTTTCTTCCTTTCTCTTAAAAAAATCAAAATGGAAAATTGGAGCTGAGAATTTCTATAGAATATATTTCAATGGAATATAAAATAATGAATAAAACGAACAGATGAGATGCGGAATTTTCCTATAGACTCAGCCATAAATTAATGAAAACCTCAATGAAAATCCAACAAAATTTTCTAGCCAATTCACAAAATTTTTCTGTGAATTTTTGTCGTATGTGTTTAGCAGATGTTTAACACAAAAATATTAAGTTTTACCTTGCTTCCCTGGCCTGTTGGGATGCGACTTCATCTTGATCTCATTCCCAGCGATCTCGTCGTAAATTTTAGAGAGATACTCCTCGGGTAGATCCTCATTATCACTAATCCGTCGATTCAATTTGATATACTGCTCTTTGGTCATTTTATTCTTGACCTGCGGCGAATGGAGATCAGTCGTCAGCATTATTATCGAAAAACCTAGGACGTAAGCGGTGTCTGCACTGGTAAACAAGCCATTGCTAGGAAATCGAAAAAGGCAGGGTTAATCAAATTTCTCAAGCTTGAAGAAAACATCTCGAAATCCACTGAAATTTCACGGAATTTTGTTACTGAAAATTCACAACTCGATGAAAAAATCAATGAAAACGGTCAATTTTAGTAAATTATTCCATGAGAATAGATAAAAACCAGCAAAGTTCAGATAAACACATTTTTGAATTTTTCTAACGACTGAAAATGCTGTTGAAAATTCAAATAAGTTGGAGAATTCTCTTTTTGCTGCTAAAAAATTTGAAATTTCTTTGAATTTCCAGTAAAGTATGAAAATCCCATTCAATCTCTCTCTCCCTCCCTCTCTGAAATTCAAATCAAGGCCCAGTGAATTATCTTTCGAACGTGATCTTGGTTGTTTTTTTTATTTTGATAATCTGAAATGATCTCCAATTGCTCTTCAGTTTTGCATAGCCCTGGAGTCTCCAAAAATTACATTTTCAGAGAGCGTTTTAAAATAATATTGGGAAATTAATAATTTGATGTATCTAATGTCTGTTAGTTCGTCGTTTGTCACAGTAGTCGATGGCTGTCAGACCGTTACTTACCATAATAAATTATCCATTCCCAATTTCCTCTCTTTCGGACTTATTTCCTAATCTTTACTAAAATCGCTCTTTGACAAAATTCAGTATTTTTTATACTTTTTTTGATTGTACAATCATAATTTTTAGGGACTCCCGCATGATGTGAAATCCAATGTAAATTACTATAATATATATTTTCCATTACGAAGATGGAAAAACAGTCGAGATAACGTTCGAAAGATGATCCCCCCGGGCCTTAATTTCCAAAACCCCATCAACTCACTTTGGATTGCACTCGCAGTACCGACTGGCGAACTTCTCCATGAGCCTATCAATCTTCTGCGCCTCCCCAGGCAGCCTGAAGCCCTCCAAAAAATACCTGAGCGCCGACACCAAATCCCTATTAACAAAGTCCATCTGGTCTATGTAATTATACATGACCTGATTGTGATTATGATCCCCCAGAAAGTCCCCAATGGCGGTTTTATCGAGTCTCTCATCGACATGGAGAAACCTCGCGACATCCTCAGCAGAGGCCCCGAGCAGTCCCTGCTCCTGTAGATACTGAATCCCTTTGCTGGGCTTTCTGTTGAATATCTCGATGCCGGCCTCCCACACCTCCTTCTGCTGCTTCTGCACCTCGAACTGCTCTGGCGAGTCCGACACCTCCTTATTCCCTACAAGACTAGAATTCGCTGATGACAGACTGCCAGCACTGCCATAACGAGGCAACGAGTTGAGAGGTGGATCGGGTGGTTCAGTGGGCATTTGCTGGTCCACTGGGGTGCCAGGGTTGATGTAGAGATCCCTGCTCCACTCCACCATGCACTTGAGAATGGAAACTAGACACTCGAGCCCTCTGATCCTCATCGACTTCTCCTGATTGGGGGAGGCACCGAGCTCCAGTGCCTGACGACCCTGCGCTATTTTCGACAGATCGTTGACAAGTCTCTCGAATAAATTCGCTGCTGACAGGTCGCAGTCGTAGTTAACGTAGATGTCCACGACACTCTGGGCATCGGCGCAAATCCTCGTCAGGGCGTGAATCACCATCCACTTGTGTTCGAACGAACTGCTGGACGTCTCCAGGATGTTCATAAAGATCTCCTTGAAGAACACCTCGATCTGCATCTTCAGGTGGACCTTAAATCGAGCCAGCAGGGCTAGGAACAGTGCCAGCGACAGCTCGAATACTTCGGGAACTGAGGACACTCCATTCTTCGATAACGCGACGCACAAGTACTGTTTAATCGCTATTACGAACATCTCGTTGGACCTCAGGACTGGCCCGGCATTCTGGAGGATGCCCAGGAGCAGCTGCAGGGACAGGATCTTGGACCTCAGCTCGTGGGATTTGGGATCTGGGGTGCCGTCAGGCAGAGGCTTCATCGAGAGCTTGCACAGGGCTCTGAAGACTAAAAAGGCGTCCTTCTGAAGGACATGACTGAACTTTGCTGTCACCATATTGTCGGCCTCGGTTGTCGTCTCGTCGGTGTTGTCGTCGGTTTGGACTTGGTCGGGGTTGGTGTCCTCCAGGGGCGAGGGCGCTGGCGGGTCTTCAGGTACGACGGTGGCTATTACCTCATCGAGGATGCTGGCGACGATTTGGGAGGACTCGAAGGAGGATTCGGGGGGATCCCCTGGGGTCTCGTCCAGGTCCACTCGGGTTACTGGGGTCTCTGGGGGCTGGGGACACTGAGAACAGATTTTTTTCGTGAGGGGCTTCCATGGCCACATTGGTGAGAAGCTGGGTGTGAAATTTATGGGAGACTTCGATATTTAAATTGCATTATAGTTTGAGGGGTATTCCAAGGTATTGGATTATTGAAAATTATTAAAAATCAGTTTAAAAAATTAGAAAGTCTATATTTGGAGGAAGATTGATGAGATAATTTAAAAATTGCAATTTTTGAAAATTACCAGCATTTTTTATAAATAATTTATAAACAATCAATTTTTTACCAAATTTTCCATTCTTTCAAAAAAATTATTCGTAGCCAGAATTTTAACAGAAATCTATTTCATGTCTAAAAAATCAGGTTTACGAAAGTTTAAACAATTTCAACTATTCATGAATAATAATTGCGTGCTAAGTGTAATTTGAATGAGGCTGAATATCCATGGTTTTTTTTTAATTTTAATTAATTGGAATTTGCAATGCTCCCAAAGGAACCTTTTATGTAAATTCAATAATATTTATTTGAATCCAATTTAATGGAAATTGAGGTTTTATTCACATTAAGGATATTCGACACCCTTTTAGCCAAAATTGACGTTGTTTTCATTTTTCTAGCAAATTATCGATGGGAGTGACATGAAAAAATATAACGATTTTGTGGTTTGTCATTCTTTAATGGCTCACGAAGTTGCGTAGTGGTGCGATAATTTTCATGCGTTTTTTCTACAGTTTTGTGATTCTTTTTAAAAGTTTAGAGAAAACGCAGGAAAATGTTCGCACCACCTTAAAATTTCGTCAGTCATTAAATAATGACAAAACGCAAAAACGTTATATTTTTTCACGTCAATTCCATCATAAGTTTGCCAGAAAAATTAAAAAAACGTGAATTTTGGCAGAAAGGGTGTAGAACATCCTTAAGTGAATAGTTCTCTAAAAATATAAACACATGTTAATTAGAAATGTTTAGCTAGGGAAGAGAATGAGTTAATTAACACGTAATAATTTTTCTTCACAACATAAAACGCTTATTTAATTCGAATGCTTTATTCATTCTTCACTAAAAAAGAAATGATTCATTTTTCTCACGCAGTTTAATTAACAAATTTGATGCTTGAAAACGGTTGAATCTATAGTGTGGTCTGTACCAAACTGTAAAAGATACTTGGATATTATTAATAATTCATAATTTTATAGAGAAATAAAAAAAAATGGTAAATTTTCAGGAAATTGATAAAATTCTGATGAATGCATTCTTCAAATTTCAATTAATTGAAATTTCAGCGTAATATGGCCCAGAATATTCATGTTGGACTGAAAATTCAACTAAATTGAAGAATTTTCGTTTTCCTGCTGCTCAATAATGAGGAATTTCATTGAATTCAAATGCTGGATCCATTATTCATTTCAAAAAATTGATAATTTTTCATTCAAAACCTCAAGACTTGAAAAATTGCATTGGGACTCTCAATTCCCCCAAAATATTCCCCAATTTAAAAAAAAAACAGCTTTAAGGCAATGAATTAAATCACGAAAATTAGTGTAAGATAAAATCTTCTCTATAAATAACTTCAGCAGAAGAATGAGGAAAAGCCCCAAAAATAATGCGTTAATATCTCACCGTATTCTCTCCAATCCTCGCATCGTCCTCAGCCTGCGTCTCCATTCGCGCAAAAATAACATTAATCATCTGCGTCAACGTAGCCCTAGCTGTCGTCTGATTAACAAGATTCCTCGACGCCAAATAAACGTTATACACAGTGCGTATCGTCAATAAAACAGTCCCTTCATGTACTTCGACATGTTGACTAGTCATCACAGTTAAAAGTGCCTTGATTATCTGCAACTGGACCCCCTCATCTGTCTGGGGGCCCATGAAGCAGGTGCATATCGTCTCCACTATCCTCACGATCAGCAGTTTGTTGGGCTCTGTTGAGTCTGGAACGTTGCCAGTCAGGTGGCCATATGCTATCAACTTCTGCAGGCAGTCCAGGGCTGTCACCACTATTCGGGGGGATTTGCTCTGACATGCTAGCTCGAAGGGGAGAAAGTATTTCTCTGCTGATATTACGTTTGAGTCGTTCTTCGGCTGGGGCAGGGCGTTTGATATCGCCTCCTCGCCTTGCACGTTTGGCACCTCTTTTATCTCCTTTCGAAGGTCGTCTGAAATTGAAGGATTTGAATTTTTAGTCTTCTATTGGAATTGCAAACAGGGAAATCAATCTGAAGTAACGAATTTTTCAAATGCACCAGAAATATATTTTATTTCAATTAAATAATACTCTTTTTAATCAAATAAGTGGGTTCATTTGATCGAAATTTATATTTTGTTCGCATCAAGGTAATAGTTTTTCAAAAATATAAACAAATGTTAATTAGAAATTATTAGATAGGGAAGAGTAAGGGAGAATAATTTTTTTTTTATAAAATAAATCGTTCATTGGATTTTTATAGTATTTAGAATGAATGTATGAGGAGAAATTGAAGGATTAGAATTTTTAGGCTCTTGGATTGAACAGTTATCAAGGGATAGAGTGAAATGAATTTTAGGGAATGGAGCCAAAGGGGGAAATCAATCTGAAGTAACGATTTTTTCAAATGCACACAGAAACGCATTTTATTTAAATTAAGTAATCTTTATTTTAATCGAATAAATGGGTCATTTGATCGAAATTTATGTTTTGTTTACGTCGAGTCAATAGTTTTCTAAAAATATAAACAAATGTTTCTTAGAAATGATTAGATAGGGAAGACAATGAGTTAATTAAAATATAATAACTTATTTGATAAAATAAATCGTTTAATTGATTTTAATACAATTTGGAATGAATGAATGAGGGGAAATTAAAGTATGAGAGTTTTAAGGGTCTTGTATTGAATAGTAATTGAAGGATGCACTAAAATAAATTTTAGGGAATCAAATTAAACGAGGAAATCAATCTAAAGAAACGAATTTTTCAAATCCACCAAAGAAACATTTGAATTGAATTCAATAAACTTAATTTTTTTTAATTAATGAGTTTCTTTCATGGAAATGTAGGTTTTATTCACATCAAGTGAATCATTTTTATAAAAATATAAACAAATATTAATTAGAAATGTTTATACAGGGAAGAGAATGAGTGAATTAAAACGTAATATTTGTTTAAATAAAATAAAATGTTTATTTAATTCAAATCGGTCGATCATTATCAATTTAAAAAAATGTCTTGAAGAGGTGCATTCAAATAATTTAATGAGAACCAAGTTATATTAATTACAAAATTATTGGGACGAGTCACAGGTATTGAACATCATTCCTAGATCAGCCTTCCTCTATTATAAACATTAACTCATTATTTTTTAAAATTATATTTTGAATGATTGAAACGTCTGATCAACTGATCTTCATTAACATTGTCTCATTACTCAACGTCTATCGACTATCTCGAACTATTTATTTATTTATTTACTTTCTGGGTAAATTAAAAACAATTCGTTAGTCTTTTGGGGAGGTTTACGGGGATTTTGCAGAGTTATTGGACATCTGTGAGGACTCACCTAGTGCTGTTTCACATGATTTTCGTAATTGTGACAAGTGGGAACGCTTGACGTCCTTATCGGCTAGTATTTTTTCCAGTGCTCTTACTATAAACATTTCTCTTGTTTTAGAGTTATTTTGCATCGTCAATGATGAAACAGTTGTTTCATGAGATGTTCCGGGTTTGGGGGCCTAAAGGGCCTGTTGTTTTTGTTCAATCGGGGGTTTTGGGAGTGATGAGTCGTATTCGAGGTTAAAAATGTGAAAGTACGTTGACGTAAGCATCTTCAACAATCGGTGGACGTGTTGTTGGAGTATATTTTTTTTGCGGGGGTGCCTTGTCACTCGTTACACGTTTTTTTTCATCGTTTGGCACGATGTTTTGGGAATTTTTGAGACACTTTTGGGGGCCTCCGAGGTGTGGGTAATTTTTGTGTCACTTGGGAGTGTACTGTTGGCACGTTGTACGACGAGGTGGTGGGAGTTTTGGGCTTTACGTAGATCTTCACAAACAGGTAGGGCACATATGGCATGGGGTTGGGGGGATTTGACGTGTTGGACTGCTGGCTAACGCTATCTTGTGGCTGTGGGTGGCGGTGCAGCGAGCGATTTGTGTCATTTATTTATTATGAAATTATTTTGATTTTATAGTATTTTCAAGGATGGCGAACTACATTCACCTTGGTTTTTTGATTTTTTTAAAATTCGGTTTAAATTATGTTTTAAAAAAATTACATTTTCAACATTTCGGAGTTGTGAATAAATTAGAGAAATTGTTTATAATTTTTTGTTACAAATTTTATAATTTCAAAGAAATGATTTTCAGGAAAGCAGATGGATTTTTAAAATAAATTATTCATAAAACAGATTGCAATCTTCAAAAATTATAATTTTTCAATAATTTCATGCATTTTTTAAAATTTGGTTTAAATTAAGTGTTAAATAAATTACATTTTCGACATTTCGCGATTACAGAAATTGTTTACAATTTTTTTTTACAAATTTTTTTATTTCAAAGAAATCATTTTCAGGATAGCAAATGGATTTTAAAAATAAATTATTCATAAAACAGATTGTAATCTTCAAAAATTTCAAAGTTTCCGATTATTTTATGAATTCACTTTTAAGAGTAACTATTTTGTACAATTAAATTTTGCTAGAATCATTTTTTAAACAAATAATGGGAATTGTTTCATATTTAAAAAATTTTATTCATTTCTTTTTAAATTTTTTTCGTTAAAAAAAATGATTTTTGGGAAACAAATTAATTTTTTTAATGAATCATTCATTATTCAAACTGGCTGCGATCTTAAAAAATTAGAATTTTCCAATGATTTCATGAATTTTACTCCAAACATTCCATTTTTTTATAATTACGACTACAAAGCTTCTATTCGTTGGCAAAAATCTAAAATAATATTATAAAAAAATATCTTAATTTTTTTATTCGGAATTCAAGATGATTTTGCTCTCTGAAGGCGCAAAATTATTTTTTTTTTACTCATCAACTCCATTGTTGATACATCTGAATCATCTCCGTTATCGCAAACTGTAGTTCTCGGTAGAACTGCGCATGTCAAACCCGTTCCACTCGGTTCCACCAGCTGATCGGGTTTTTGTAATTAAATATCAAAATTCTAGTTGTTCCTTCTAGTGAATCGTCGAGAGCATTCTGAGACCATGGAGGGTGCTCCACTGATGAGAAAAGACGACCCACCACCTCCATACTCTGTAGCAACTGCTCCTCAAGGTATTACTAAGATGCTCGGGCTTAGGTTATGTGCAATTGTCACTCGTTCTCTTTCGCTCTTTTTTTTCGCTCTTGATTGTTGCGGGATTACTCGGGGGAATTGTTACTGTTCCTTGACTCTCAATTTTTACATTTAGCCAATACCTCGTGGCAACCACCACCTGGGTATTATCCGAGCTCTGGTGCTCCCTATCAGGGCTCATCGGTGCCGTCGTATGGAACAACAACAACAACAACAACTGTCATTGTGCCGGAGATTATACTGGTCGGAGCCTGTCCTGCTTGCAGAGTAAATTTTTAGTTTTTTCATTGTTCGGGGAATCCGGGCTTTGGGGAAGTGGGAGAGAGATTAAATGGGATTTCTTGATCGCTATTTTGCGAATAACTTCGAAGTGAGGAGGTGTACGAGAATTGATTAGAAAACGTTCTTTGTAGTTCTTGAAATTTTATACGAAAAAGGTCTCTTGATAAATATTTGTGTACCTCTTCACTCCGAAAATATTTAGAAAAAATATCGTTGAGAATTTCTCATTTTTCGTTTGGAGTGAGAGGTCAGAAGGTCAATTTTTTGAAAATAGCTTCAGAGTGAGAAGGTCTACGAGAATTTATTATAGAACGGTTTCTATAGCCCTTGAAATTTCCTAGAAAAATGATCTTTTGAAAAATTTTTGTCAATTGCTTCACTCCGAAAATATGTACAACAAATGTCGTAAATTTCTCATTTTTCGATTGGAGAGAGAAGGCAGAAGGTCATTATTTCGAAAATAACTTCAGAGTGAGGAGGTCTACGAGAATTTATTAGAGAACGTTTTTTGTAGTTGTTAAAATTTTCTACGAAAAAGGTCTTTTGATAAATTTTCATGAACCTCTTCACTCCGAAAATATTTAGACAAAATATCATTGAGAATTTCTCATTTTTCGTTTGGAGTGAGAGGTCAACGGTCATTATTTTGAAAATAACTTCGGAGTGAGAAGGTCTACTAGAATTTATTATAGAACGGTTTCTATAGCCCTTGAAACTTCCTAGAAAAATGATTTTTTGAAAAATTTTTTTCAATTGCTTCACTCTGAAAATATGTACAAAAAATGTCGCTGTGAATTCCTCATTTTTCGTTTGAAGGGAGAGGGCAGGTCATTATTTCGAAAATAACTTCAGAGTGAGGAGGTCTACGACAATTTACTAGAGAACATTTTTTGTAGCGATTGAAATTTTCTACGAAAAGGGTCTTTTGATAAATTTTCGTGAACCTCTTCACTCCGAACATATTTACAAAAAATATCGTGAATTTTTCATTTTTCGTTTCGAGTAAAAAGTCACAAGTTCATTATTTTGCGAATTCCTTCGGATTAACGAGATTGACAAGAATTTATTACAGCCCATTTTTCGTATCTCTTAAAATTTCCTCCAAAAAACATTTGTTCACAAATTTTTTCCAATTACTGCACTCCGAAGATATTTACAAAATAATGAAATTGTGAATTCTGAACTTGTCTTTTGAAATGAGAACTCATTCTTACATGAATATTCCCAGAGTGAAGGGGTTTACGGAAATTCATCTAAAGACCTTGACATTCTCCGCAATTATATCACCACATTATATTATATTATATTATATTTTTCACATACATCCTTTCTCGCGTTTTTACATTTTCTTCCCTTCCCCTCGCTCGCTACTTCCCCAACTCCCAGTGAGAGAAAAATCGTCATAATATATGACAAAAATAATTTCTTGAGTGGAGAGCATGATGAGATGATAAATTTTATGCGAGAAATTCGTTTTGCGATATTATGTCGAAATTTCCCCAGCGCCTGCACTTTTCAACGTCTCAATTATATCCTTCTGATAATTTTCCTTCAGGTCGGAGTTCTCGAGGACGATTACACGTGCCTAGGTATCTTTTGCGCGATATTCTTCTTCCCCCTGGGAATCCTCTGCTGTCTACTCCTGAAAAATCGACGTTGTTCTCACTGCGGCGCGTATTTCGGCTAATTTTCCAGAGTAAATCCTCTCTAAATAATAATAAAAAATGGGCATCTAGCGAGTTGCACTCAACAACTCGAGACAATAACCAAGAGGTCAGACTATCAGATTCTGCTAATCACTCAATCGTCTCCTGTTGTTGAGCAATTAATCATGTAGCAAAGTCTCAGAACGAGATTAGCATAATTCCACACCCGGTTTTCTGCGAATATCTCTGAATCTGAGAGAGATACAAAAATTTTCGTTAAAATCTTTTTTATGGGGAAAAACCAGAGCTACAAAAAAGGTCGAGACGAAAATTTTTGTATCTCCTCCAGATTCTGAGATATTCATGAAAAACCATAAACGTTTAGTGGTTGTATTTGTTATCCTTTAGATAAAAATTTTATTGCAACTGAGTTGTTACATTAGTTTTACAAAGTTTATAATATCGTGAAAAACATCTTAGGAATTTCGAAGATGTTGAACAATTATCATGGGTGCAGGCCAATAATTACACTCAACAATCATCCGCGTATAATTAAATCCAATTCCTCGGATATAAGTTTCAAGGTAGTGAGACTCATTCAATATAATTTTTTTCCTCAATAATTAATCGTTATGGATCAGGAATTTTCACGCTCTCTTACGTCAAATATTTGAATTCATGTGGAAATAACTGATATAATAATTGAAATGTAAACATTCTCCCTGTCAGAAGTGGAAATATTCCATTGATTAATTTCATTGCGGAATGAAAAAAGCAGCTTATGTCATTTTTTATTACATAAAAGTTGAATGAACGAATGTTTAAAAAAAATCTACATGACTGGTAGACTGAATGCAACTATTGAATCTGTACGGGGCGTACGTAATGAATGTGATAAAGTAATTTTCGTAATCGAGATTAGATGGGTAAGGAGATGATATTCTTTCATTGTATAAATATTTTACTGCCCAGTTAATAATAATTCGTATGAATATGATTTTTTAATTCTTTTACCCATTTGTACATTTTATGTGGCGCATAAATACCCAAATAGAGAGATAAATATTATCAATTGTAGGCTAAATAGACCGCAATAATCAGTCAATCGTTTTTAAAACGAATTATTTAGTGATGACGTCATAAATTCAGAGATGTTTCCTATTGGCGAGTGGGAGTTTTACTTTCTGATTGGCTAAGACGCATATAGAATAGGTTAGGCTCGTCTGAAGACCCCCCGTGATTGGTTGAGAGCCCATAAAACCTGACGCCATTACAGATGAAGTATACAATTTTAAAAAATTGATAATTAATTATAGAACAGTTTTTTTTTTCATTTTCAAGTAGAAAATGCTTTATTGGAGTCGTAAACGGGAAAAAATCTCCTGAAGTCATACAAATTTTTTATTGAAATTAGAAGAGTCCCATTACAAGATTATGGGATTCATCCGCGTAAAAATACTGTGAAATATAATTAGAAAAATTTTTCTTATCGATTTATAAATTTTATTTAGCGGATGAATACGTAAATAGGCAGAGGAATCTTGTCAATTATATCCTAAGTAGACCACAATAATCAATCGATCGTTTTTAAAACGAATCATTTAGTGATGACGTTATAAACTCGGAGATGTGTCCCATTGGCGAATGGGAGGAGTTCTACTTTCTGATTGGCTAAGGCACATATAGAATAGGTTAGGCTCGTGGGAATACCACTTGTGATTGGTTGAGAGCCTATAATACCTTCTGACGGCATTACAGATGAAGGGTACAATTTTTAAAAATTAATAATTAATTATAGAACAATTTTCTATCATTTCCAAATGGAAAATGCTTTATTGAAGTCGAAAAAATTTCCTGAAGTCATGCAAGTTCTCTATTGAAATTGATTAAGGAACTTCCGCAGTAAGTATACTTGGTGAAAATTTCGAAATGGTATAAAGACGCAATATTTGGATCATATGTTGTTGAGCACATTCAAAAACTATTCCCAAAATTTCAAGTACCTTGTCCACCCCATTTTCGAAATATACATCGTCAAAAATGGAAAAACACAAAAATTGAATGTTTGGCGATGCATATCTCAAAAATGGGGTGGACCAGAGACTTGAAATTTTGGGAATATATTTTTAATGTGGTCAACAACATATGATCCAAATATTACCACTTTATACCATTTCGAAATTTTCACCAAGTATACTTACTGCGGAAGTACCTTAAGCCTCATTCACCCTCCACTCATTATTTGAAAATTGCCCCCATTGTTCCTCAATCCTCAGCTTAACAACAAAATCAAGTGAATAATTCAGATGATGAATTAATGAATTATGGAAAATTGTTGATTTATCTGAAGTTATTATCGAGGAAATGAGGTCTGTCCTTTGATATTATAAAGTCAAACAACTTTTATGAATGAAAATTTTATGGAATTATTTAATCACCCAAGCTGAACACATAATATTGGAAAAAAAACTCATAACGCATTGCGAGGGGGATTTTTCAATGATTTATTACGCCGTTAATGATTGAATACTTTCAAATTCCTTGAGGCATTGAAGTCGTGTTCAGGAGAGCAATGAAAGATCATATTTTTTTATAATTAAATTAACGAATCACTAGGTGTTATTAGAAGGCCTTTTGCAAGGTCATCGGTAGCCCTCGAATTTCTATCGAAATCATCGGACCATGAGAGCCTCTGGGAAGTTTTCCTCAATTATATATTTCTCGTCATTCGTCTTTCCTTAACTGTAATAACTCGTGAAGTTTAATTATTTCCCGGTATGACCTTTGTGATGCGAAGTCGGACTAGGATGCCGGTTAGTAATTTTCCGGGTGAGAATGACCTCGTGGAAGTCATTCAATGATTTTGTTTAGTGTCCCGAGGACATTTCGACTGCTGTACCATTTAGTCGTTAATTCCTTCGAAACGAGTGGGTTTAGAGAAAAATGTCAAATTACCTTTTTTGTAGAGAATTTCACGCCCAACGAAAAAGGTTTTTAGACATTTTTCTCTAATCCTGATGATTCAAAAGATATTTGGAAATTACTCTTTACGGAATTTTTTCAGTCTGTTTGTTTTCATTTCTATTCTTTGCAGATTATTCCGAAAATATCTTTGGAATGAATAGGTTTTTGTTACTTTTCAATAAATTTATGATAAATAAATAAATTATAATAACAAAATTCACAAATTTAGTCTATTCTCTGCGAAATCCGCGCATAAATACACCATTTTGAAGACAACTAATTTTAATTTTATAACGAGGAAACAAAATTTGGAATTAACATAGTTCTGTCTGCTTAAAACTTGATGAATCAAGACGGAGAAGTCATGAGGAAAGTCCGTTGACGTAAATAATTTTCTCCAAAGCTCTTGGATTTCCGGGGACATGAATTACGATTGAAACGTTCGGGCTAGATGAACGCTCTATCGCGGATAGAAATATTGGCGGGGGTCTCACGTCCTTGATGAGATACTTTTTAGCGTATAAAGAACGCTGCGGTTGACGATTACACTCCAGTTGTAGCGCGCTGTCGAGATGCCAGTGAACGAGGACACGTACTGTGATACCCTAGGGCCGGCCTGCGTCGAGGATATCAACGACGTGTCCACTGGCCTCTCGGGGAGTTTTCATAAGGGTTTGTCTGGGGATGGTCAGAGAGGCGTCATGGACTGTTGTATCAAGGAATACGTGAATGAAGAGCTCTCTGGACAGTTCGAAAGCACTCCGACCAGAGTGAAACACGAAAAATTTCTCAGAGATTTCTTCGAAATTGTTCTCCAGGACGCGGTTTTTGATGTGAGTACATTACTTGTGGAGTGAAGTGATGAAATGGGTCGAGGTTTATGAATGGGTTGCTTTCGTTCAGGAAGATTTTCCCAGAAGACTGGTTTGGAAGAAAATTGGATTTAGACATCAGTTTTTGGTGATTTTTTGGAATTCCGGTGAAATTATGGATGAAAGAATTCATTTTTTTTGTTGAAAAAATTCTATTGAATTTTTATTGGAAAAGTATGTGAATAATATGACATATGATTGGAAGTATATGAATTCTATTGGAATTCTTTTGAAAATTTAAATCGATTTTGCGTGGATTTCAATCGTAATTTTTATTTGTAAGAAAAAGTTAATAGATGTTGATTTTTCTATAAGAATGCTTGAGATAGATGTTTTTCCTTTAAATTTTGTTGTGAGAAACGAACAAAAACAGCGAAAAAAAAATTAGATAGCTTGTGCGCAAAAATTTCTGTTGGAAAATATTGAACGAATAATTCATACCGCAAAATGAACATCCGTAGTTTTTCTATCGAAAAAATTTTATTTGTTGCCTTCAAGAAATTTTACTGAATTTTAATTCAAAAACTCTAAGAATTGTATTGGATTTTCATTCGAATTCCATTGGAATCATTTTGAAAAATGGATTCAATGTTGCGTCGATTTCGATTGACATTTCTATTCAATAAGAAGAGAATAATAGGTGTTGATTTTTCTATACAATTTATCCTATTGAGAATTATTTTATAAGAATTCTTGGGATTGAAGTTTTCCTTTTGGATTTTGTAATGAGAAAAAAATACAACGAAACAAAGTAGAATTTGCGAATAAAAATTTCAGTAAAAACATTTTTAAACAATAATTGGTGTAGAAATATGAAGCTCCATTGAATTTTTCGCTAAAAAATCGATCCAAAAACGGCATAATGTTTAAAATAAAATTCACTTCGCTAATTGAAATTGCATAATGTCTAAAATAAAATTCTCTCCAAACCTTTTTTTTCTTTCAAAAATTCCGTTATTTTCCTAGAATTTCGAAATTTTCATTAAAATCTGAGAAGATATTCATCTAAAAGTCCACTGATAGAAAGGATGAGTTATCGTTAACAAATGGATTTGGTTGGAGGCAAGACTACTCGGTCTCACTAAATGTTCATTCGTTACTAGCCAACAAATGCATATTTGAGGAGCCTTGTTTGCCTCGACTTTCACCTTCCTAGTGAATCATTCCTTAACTATTAACGAATATTTATTTGTTCACATTCAACTCTACCATTCGTTAATTAGTATTAATACTTCACAAATCTCGTTTTCTAATAAATGAATCACTCCATCAATGTAACCATGAGTTTCCGCAAATCCCTGTAAGTCTCGACAACCCATAAAAACCACCATAAAACCTTTTTTGTATCATCAAACCCCAGCCTTCGTAAAATTACGCAAACCACCAACAATTTAAATACCGAACGCCTCCAGTCTCCACGCATAATTATCCATTTCGAAATTCCCCCTAGATTGCACCCAGCATCTTGTCAAACGATCACTATGATTAACAACTTCTATCCCACGGTATCCAGGGCACCTCGCGCAAGACCAAGGTCGTGGACTGGGTGGATCCAGAGAGGCTCCCCTCCACGATAGACCTCCGCCTGGAAAAATCTGGCATCAGCCACGAGGCGCTGTTGAATTTGGCGCGCGGAGTCGTCAAGTACAGCGTCAAAACGGGGAATCCCAAATTTGTCAATCAGTTGTTCTCAAGTGTCGACCCCTACGGTCTTGCTGGGCAATGGCTGACAGACGCTTTGAACCCATCGGTCTACACATACGAGGTCTCCCCGGTGTTTTCCGTGATGGAGAATGAGGTCCTGCGGGAAATGCGGAAGATCGTGGGCTGGACAGAGGGAAAGGGGGACGGGATATTCTGCCCGGGGGGGTCAATGGCGAACGGCTACGCCATAAACCTGGCTCGACACCACAAATACCCCAGACTGAAGGAAACGGGACTCTCCGGATCGCAGAGATTAGTCGTTTTCACGTCCGAGGACGCTCACTACTCCATAAAGAAACTCGCCGCCTTCCTGGGGATCGGGACGAACAACGTTCACGAGGTGAAGGTTGACACCCGGGGGAAGATGTGCCCTGAAGACCTGAAGGCCAAGGTCAAGGCGTGTCTGGAGAAGGGGGGGACTCCCCTGATGGTGTCGGCCACTTCGGGAACAACTGTCCTCGGGAGTTACGATCCCCTCAGACGGATTCACGACGTCTGCAAGAAGTACGACATGTGGATGCACGTGGACGCCGCCTGGGGAGGGGGCGCCCTCATGTCGTCCAAGTACAGAAGACTTCTTGAAGGGATTGAACTGGCTGACTCCGTCACGTGGAATCCTCACAAGCTTCTGGCAGCACCTCAGCAGTGCTCCACCCTCCTGACGAGACACGAGAATCTCCTGCAGTCAGCTCACAGCTCCTGCGCGACGTACCTCTTTCAGAAGGACAAGTTCTATGACACTTCCTTTGATTCTGGGGACAAGCATATTCAGTGTGGAAGGAGGGCGGATGTCCTCAAGTTCTGGTTTATGTGGAAAGCGAAGGGAACCAGTGGATTTGAGATGCACGTGGACAAGGTTTTCCATCTGTCGAGGTTCTTCGTGGGGTTGATCAGGGGGAGAGAGGGCTGGAGGCTTCTGCAGGAGCCGCAGTGCACCAATGTCTGCTTCTGGTATGTCCCGAAGTCCAAGAGGGGGCTCAAGGGGGAGGCGCTGGACCGGGAGCTGCACAGGATTGCGCCGATTATCAAGGAGCGGATGGTGAAGAAGGGCTCCATGCTGGTGACTTATCAACCACTTCATGGATTGCCGAATTTCTTTAGACTGGTGCTGCAGAGCTCGGGACTTACCGAGGGGGATATGAGGTACTTTGTGGAGGAGTTCGAGACTCTCGCGGAGGACCTGTAGGAGGGGGAAATAATTTTCGATGGGGGTTTTTTTCTCCATCAATTATTCAATAAGAATTCGCTGTACAGTTGTAGATATTAAAAGTATGCGCTAACATGATTCCAAAAGAATTTTGTAAATTAGTATTAATGAAAGAGGTATTAAACGACATTAAAAACACTGATTACTCATCGAAATTAATCAACATCTCTTTATTTCATACATCAGTTAATATTAAAATTTTATTGTTCTCTTTATTCACAGTTAGATTCCATCGAACGATGATACATTGGTATATACAAATAAACGGGACTCGAAATATCCAACATTTACAAGCGTAGAATACTCAAAATACGATAAACTAAATTAACATTAATGTCACAAACAATTAGATGGCAGATGATTTCAGTGGCGAAGTGATGAATTCGTAATCTCATAAAACCTCTTCATACAGAGAATTTCCATCCAGCCACTTCACCCCGATCAAATCCCCAAAAAAATCATCTCCAGAGCGGCCTAGCTGTACTCCTTCAGGAACTTTATGTGAAAATCTTTGATACTATTGAGCATCGTCTTGATCTTGTCGACCTGCGGTAGAATAGTCGTCCTGAAGTGGTAGGTCCCAGGTTTCTGTCCAAATCCAGACCCAGGGATGACACATATCCCCGTGGTCTCCAGCAGTCTGAAAGCGTAGAAGGCATCGGGGGCTTTCCCCTCGGCCTTAGCAGCATCAATAACCTTCTGAGGTAGATCGAGCCTGGGGAAGACGTACATGGCTCCCATCGAAGGATTGCAGTGGTACCCAGGAATTGTGTTCAGCGTATCGACAACTAGTCTTGACCTCTCCGCCAGGGACTTGAGGACATCTGTCTTCTGCTCCACGAATTCCTTGTACGAAGGCTCGTTCGGCCTCGGGGGGTTCATCACGACGTCCATCACCACCTGACCGAGCACTGTTGGACACAACATAGCAGAGATTGCCTTCGAGAGAATAGCCATCACCTCTGGGTCCATATTAACGTATTCAGCGTAGCCCCCGCGTATTCCGCACTCGCCCATGTAGCCTTTCGATATCGACATGAAGGACGCCAGTTCGAGTTTTGAGTAAGGCTCACCCATCTCCATCATCACCTTCTTGAAGGCGTGGAAGGCACTGTCTTTGTCGTAAACGTTGTCCTGGTAGACCTCGTCAGCCAGGATGAAGAGGTGGTTCTTGTGGGCGAATTTTATGATGTCCTCGATGTTGGAACGGGTGAGAACTTGGCCTGTTGGATTGCCTGGGTTGATTACTACGAGGACTCGAGGGTTGCAGGACTTCTTGGACTCCGTGTAGGCACGCTCCAGCTCGGCTATGTCCAGGGCCCACCTGTTGGCCTCGTTGAGGTAGTAGCCGATCTGGCAGAGGCCGAATTCGGCTAGGGCTGCGGAGTAGAGGGGGTACTGGGGGATGGGGATCATCACACCCGAGGGCTTGCCATTTATCTCTTCGTTGAAGAGCTTCAGGAAGGTCTGGAAACATGAGAAGATTGAGGGCTTCGGGGTGATGTCTGTCGAAAAATTCATTTCATTCATTTGGCTTTTGAATAATTAAAAACCTCTTTTGCTATTTCTTTCTATTTTATCATCAAAGTAGGGGGCTACGCCTCCTACTCGCTACGCTCGCCAGCCCCCACATGACCCCCATGATCCTTATTCTGATCCTCGTAGCCCTTAATCTGACACTCATTACTCTCATTATACCTTTGGTGATCTTTATCTTGACCCTTAATTTTGGAATCTTAATTTCGAGTACCAAATTTTTATCACCGGAAGTCGATTTGGATTTTTATAAAATAGATCCGTATTTTAACGCTTACTCGGATCCTTAATCTGACCTTTGTGGACCTTAATCTGATCCTCGTGATCCTTATTTAGACTCTTAATCTGACCCTTGTCACACTTATTTTGACCTTTAATCTGACCCTTGTGGCCCTTATCTTGCCCATATGTGCTTTAATTTGACCTTTATTTGGACCTTTTGCTGGGATCCTTGTGAGCCTTAATTTGAACCTCGTAACCCTTATTCTGACCCTCATGACCATTATTTTGACTCTCGTAACCCTTTTTCTAACCCTTACGACGCTTATTCTGACTCTTATGACCCTTATTTTGACCTTTCTAACCCTTAATTTTGGAGACTTAATTTCAAGTACCAAATTGTCATCACCAGGATTCGATTTTGATTCTTATAATACAGAAAGATTGTTTCCAGAACATTCATCATATTATTTATCACACATTAGCTTCGTTAAGGTCTGGAAAACTGAGGAGAATTCATATTTTTTTCTGTTCTACCTCGACGAGAAAGCGATCCAACAGATTGCACTGTTCTGAAAGAATGTTATCTACTGATACGGTTGATAGAGAGATTAATCACCTTGATTCCGTCTGAGGCACCATTCGATAACACGATATTCTTGTAATCAGCCGGTATGCCATCGCGATCCTGAATGTACCTGGCCACGTGCCTCCTGATTACCTCGATCCCAGCTGACTCGGAGTAAGACCCAACACTGGAGCCCTTGCACCCGGCAAGGATCTCCCTCGCGCGTTGTTTGGCGTCCTCCGGGTACCGGGGGTCGTCTAGGAGCTCTGGGGAGACACTCAGGGCCAGTACCTGACGCAGGAATTTGATGGGCTTCTGGCCCATCGCGTGGGCGTCTCCAATGTTCGCTTTGATGACCTCTTTGAACGGTTTCTTTGCCCCCTGGAATCATTGGTCATCACATCAGGTCATTTTATTGATTCAAGTAGAATTCGATGCAGATTTATGGATAATGAAAGTATTTACTGACATAATTCGGAAAGAATTTTGTAAATTAGTATTAATGAAACAGGTATTAAATGGAATTAAAATTATTTATTCATCGAAATTAATCAAAATTTTTTTATTCCATTCATCAGTAAAATTTTATTGTTCTCATTATTCATATTTAGGTTCCATCGAATGATAATATAATGGTATATACAAGTAAACGGGTGGGAAATATCCGATATTTACAAGTGTAGAATATTTGGAACGCGATAAATTAAATTAACATTAATGTCACAAACAATTAAAGACAGATAACTTCAGTGGCGAAGTGATCAATTCGTAATTATCTCGGTAACACTCGATCTCGGGAGAGAGAGTCATAAACAAAATACGAGGAATTTCCACAGTAAGAAAAAAATATAATTCTGCCAAGCAATTATATGTTTCAGACAAGAATTCATAGGGAGCTTTTGTATTAAAATTTTGGGCATTTGTTTGTCTGAAACAAATTTAATTCGCAGAATTAGGGGAGGGTCAGGCAGAATGGGAGGTTTTGAGATCTTTTCCAACCGTCAATATCTTCATTTATAAGTGAAGATATTGACAATTAGAGAAGATCACGAAACGTCCCATTTTGCCCGACTCTCCACGATATTTTTTTTCGCAGCGCATTCCACCACTTCATCCCGATCAAATTTATAGAAAAATAATCATCAAAACCCCCTAGCTGTGAAAATATTTAATAATATTTATTGCGCATCGTCTTGATTAATCTATTTTGATGATTTTTATTAAGAATTTTCGTTCTTTATATTGACACCAGATAGTTCATAATTGTTTATGCGGCTGTATTCAATTGTGTACATGTGATACATCTGGGAACACAATCCAATGCCATTTGCATTGTGAGAATATAGAGGGGTGGGGATATTGACATCACAACCGGATGCTCTTAATAACGTCAATTGTGAAAAAAAAATGAATAAACGCTGCCACGGGTAGACTTTGTCTCCTTCAAACAAATATTATCAAGTTGAAGATAAAAAAAATTAACAAACATGAAGGGATTTGAACTCGGGATGTTTGATTTGGAAAGGGAAAATGATGGACTGGGGCAACAAAAAATTGTCACGACTTGGATTTGAACCAAGAACTCCTGGTGATTGTTGCTGTTGAAAAGTCCCTTTAAAGTGTAAGAGAGCTACTCCCCAGATTATCCGCCGTTACTCCGTCTAGTAACATGTATAAATACGTAAATACGTAAGTACGTTGACCGGAAATTTTTTCAACATGATTGTTGCTGTTGAAAAGTCCCTTTAAAGTGTAAGAGAGCTACTCCCCAGATTATCCGCCGTTACTCCGTCTAGTAACATGTATAAATACGTAAATACGTAAGTACGTTGACCGGAAATTTTTTCAACATATCCAACCAGACGCGTTAGCCAATTTCGCCACCGTGACACTTGTGATTCAGCCTAAAGCGGAATCATAACACTGGAAGAAGCTCTTATTTTGGTTAGAGATAACAAGGACAAACGCAAAGGGAGAGATTATTGTTGGATGATTATTGATCAAATCTTGATGACGAGGAGATCAACTGATTAAAAAAAAACTAAAAATTCTGTCGGGTTTTGAACCCGCGACCTTCAATTCTGGCTGGAAAAATAAAGGATGAATGACTGAGGTAACAAAAAATGTCACGACTTGGATTTGAACCAAGAACTCAAGGTGATTGTTGCTGTGATTGTTGCTAGAGAGCAACTCCCCAGATTATCCGCCGTTACTCCGTCTAGTAACATGTAATAATACGTTGACCGGAAACTTTTTCAACATGATTGTTGCTGTT